CAACATGTCAGTGAAAGGAACTCAAAGGGGCGTTGCACAAAAACTCACGTGCTCAATCTCCTAGACAATTGCTGCAACTTCTTGTCGTTGGCCGCATCCTCGGCCGCCTTCTCGAACGCCTGCTTCCGGTCCTCATCTTGCTGCTTCACAACCTCGTCGTGGCTGGGGGGAAGTCTCTCGTTTTGCAAATCGACCTTGCGAGCATCCTCGAATGTGTTGATGGCGTTCTTGATACCCTCGGCACCCAGCATCAGGGTACCGGCAGGCAATCTACCACCAGAGACGGTCTTCAACTCGGTGACACGCTCAGACTCTTCGCGCAACACCTGGAATACACGCGAAAGACGACCGATGGCCAGGATTTTGTTCTTGATGGCCCGTCTCTTGTACTCAATCGACTCGGGGTCCTGCGAGGCGCCGGAGAGGGGCGGCGACATGGGGCCGGGGGATGTGGACGAGGGGGTGGCATCCTCCTTGAGCTCCTCCTCCGAGCACGTGCTAAGAATGGCGATGAGCATATCGGTAATCTTTTCACCGACAAAGGGAAGAGACCAGGTGAAGACGTCCATGAAGTTGGGCAGCCAGTAGGGGTGGGGCGTGCAGTTGAACTGCCGAATGTTCATGACGTTGTTCTCGTACTTCAACACGGCAGCCTTGTTGTTGTAGACGTCGAGGTAATTCGGCGCGGAGAAGATGGTCATGACACTGGGGAAACCCGTGGTGCGAGTCTTGCGGTACATGCGGTAGCCGGCGTCTTGCGCCTCGTGGGCACGAATGACGGAAAGAAGGTTGTTCTTCTCGAGGAATGCGCATGCGGCCGGGTATGAGAAGAAGTAGGAGCATCCGCGAACGTGGTTGTGCAAAAAGTAGTCACTCGTCTTTTCTTGGCCAAAGTCCTCGAGGGGATCGGCCCAGAGTATGTCGCACATGAGGCCCTGAGTGGGAGGCTCGCGGAAACGGTCAATCTGGGAGGGCATTTCATTAGCTGCGATGCGCGTGTGTGGGGGGGCAAGAGCAGTACTCACGCTGCGCAAGTCGTCGAGTGTGTGAAGCTCCGGGCTCAGACCACCGTGGATGCACAGGAACTGCTTGTTCATGACAGCAGCCAGGGGCAGACAGCAGAAGGAGTCCATGCAGGCTTCGTAGATAGCCTCGGAGTACTTGTGCTTGCACTCGAGCTTGAAGGTGAAGTAGTCGGTCAAGTGGCGACACTCGTGGTTGCCGCGGAGCAGCCAAAGGGTCTTGGGGTAGTGGATCTTCAAGCACCAGAGATACAGGACGCACTCGATGGAGAAGTAGCCTCTATCGACGTAGTCACCGAGAAAGAGATAGCGCGTCTCGGAGGGGTCGCCTCCGACTTCGAACAGCTTCATGAGATCGTAGTACTGGCCGTGGACGTCACCGCAGACGGTGATGGGCGCATCCATCTCGAGCAGGTTGGGCTCCGCGCGGAGGACCTCGGTACAGGTCTTGAGGATCCATAGAGCCTGCTCCTCGGTCAAGCGACCCTCGCGGTAGAAGTGCTGCTTGAGGAAGTTGATGTTGGGCTTTGTGTGGGTTTCGTCCTCGAAGAACTGCTCGTCAGAGGGCGTGAACATGGCGGGGGCCTGGACATCTGTGGCAAGGAAAATGAGGTTAGCGCCGACAAAGACCTGTTAGACTGAATTGCCTCGAGACGAGGATATTCGTGGCGGTCCAAGACTCGCGATGGACGGCGAGGCTGGCGGGGAGCACAGCAATAGCGTGGATGGAGTATCAAGCGTACCTTTGCAGACTCGCTCCATGGTGTTCACCTGGGTGCCATCTTCCATGGTATGAATGGTGAAGTCAATCTCGGGCAAGGGCTTCTTCTCGCGAATGGCGCGGATGGCATTGTCGACCTGCTGCTGGGTGCGGCTGCCGTCGCCAGGCGTGCTAGGAGCCTCGGGGTCCATGGTTGCTGGTGATGTGTGAAGCGGCGAAATCGAAAGGGGTACTAATCGGCCGGGGGGGGGGTATCTATGATGGATACGAGGGCACTCGGGTGGCAGAGAACAGAGCGGTGAAGGTCGGGTTAGGCGAGAACCAGCTCTGGATCAAGTCGCGATGGGGGGGGCCCTGCAAAGAGGCGAGCTGGGTTGAAGCGAGGTCGTTGGGCACGAGAGGACAAGAGACGAGGCCAGGCTTTGCGATGCGATGCGAGGGGTAAAAATTGAGGTGAGAAAGATAGGGCTGAGAAGGGGGAGAGTTGGGTGAAGGGAATTGGGACGGGATGGGATGCACTTGGACAGGTCCAGTGTGTTCAGTGTTTGACAGTCGTCAGTCTCCAGTTTGGCTCGCTACGCGGGCACTTTACTAACGCTAGGTACTAAGGTACGGGAGGCGCACTCACTCTCCCGCCTTGAGGTACCTCTAGGTAAGGTAATCAGTGTGATACGGCATCCCTAGTAGGTATCAATCCAGGGCATTCAGGGTGCTGGTGCTGCTCAAGTCCATCACCTCAGACGAATTGGCAGGTGGCAGACGCCAAATGCCCGCGGACGGACACTGAGGCTGCGAGTACATCCCACCCGCACCCATGTCAGGTGAGGAATGAAGTACCCCAACTTGACCCCTCTCTTCCGTGGCTCGTGTCTGGGAGGCGAGAGGCAGCCACAGGCGCCCACCTCAGTTGCCTTTTCTGCCCCTTCCCCCCACTTCCTTCCACCAAGGACGGTACGTACCATCATGACCATTAGCTGGACCCTTTTCTTCCAAGTTCCCTTCCATTTCCCCTCCCCCTCATCCACAGATTCCACAGTGGTGAGTGCACACCCACAGCACCAGCACCAGCAAAAAGCAAAGCACTTTTTCCACTTCGCTTCACCTCCAATTGCAATGCATGCAGCACCAGCACGGTTCACCTCGGACTGGGCCAGCCAAGAATGGAATATCACGACGCGCATTGGACACAATCCGCCCGCCTGCCCCTCCTCCGCGTTTTCTCACCACACGGGCCAGCACCCGGTGAGATATGATCCTCACCGGCCCAATCGTTTTCAAATGTCTGTCATCATTCAACCGTCTACGCTGGCTTTCTTTCTACCTCTATCCGGTCTATCGGCTGCACCTCTGTTTATCGGCATGGCGTCCCTGAGACTCGACCTAGAAGGTGCTCGCAGTCTGCTGTCACTGCAGCATTCGAGCCAATGACCTCGATACGCAAGCAAGCTCGGCTTATCGGCCCATCACGCAGCCTCCGAACCCCTTGCTCGCCGGCCAACGTTTGCTCCAGGCCAGCCACGGCACTCTTTCCATCTTCCATCTTTATGGCATCCTCATGGGTATCATTGTCCTTCGCTTCTCAAGGCAAGCAGTAACCTCCGTCAACGACAAGATCGGAACCGGTGGTGTACGAGGCGGCGTCCGATGCCAAGTACAGATATGCGCCCTTGAGCTCGCTGGGTTCTCCCTCGCGTCTGTTTGACAAGTCAGCCTACAAACTCATTCCCTTCTGCATCTCGGCAACTTACCCCATTGGCGTCTTGTTCCTCCACTGCTTCTTCGACTCTGCATCGACAAAGGCAGTAATCTCAGTCTTGATGTATCCGGGCGACACCGTGTTGACGCGGGCGAAATCGACCCATTCAACAGCCAAGCTCTTGCCTGGTCACTTGTCAGCCCCGTTTGGTTCATGTCAACCAGACTGCAGCACTTACAAAGGTGGACGACAGCCGCCTTGGACGCATTGTACACGGCTTGCTCCTGCGGGATGTTGACGACGTGAGCGCTCATGCTGGCGGTGGCGATGAAGCTGCCGGTGGTGAAGCCTTCGAGCTTCTTGCCTTCGAGCGTCGTGCCCTCCTTCTTCTGCCTGCGGAAATGCTCGCCAGCAACCTGGGCGCAGTACACGGTGCCATTGACGTTGACGGTCATGACCCTGTCGGCAACGTCCATCGGTCCGTCAATCAAAGGGCCCTCCTCCCATGCGATGCCCGAGTTGGCAACAAAGATATCGAGGCGGCCGTTAAATTCGGACACGATCTGCTGAATGGACTCTTGAACGGCCTGGTGGGAGGTGACGTTCACCGGGTACGCCTTGCCTGCGGAACGATTAGCAACACGACTTGGACGTCTTCGTTTGGCACCTCCACGCACACTTGACGCCGTACTCCTTCTCAATCTCGGCAGCACGGTCCAGGGCCTTTTTGTTGCTGTTGTACCAGATGGCAACGTTGGCACCCGCCTCGGCGTAGGCATGGGCGATTTGCAAGCCGATACCAGCACCAGCTCCAGAGACAATGGCCGTCTTGCCCTTGAGAGAAAACAGAGGCAGCACACGAGTGCTTTGCGGGGCCACGGTGGCATCGTGCTTGAAAGCACCGTCCTTCATATCGGCCATTCTTGCGACTGTCGTGGAAAATGGCTGGAATCTCGCGGGGCTGCTGTTGCTGTTGCTGGCGGTTGCGGCTCGAGGAACACAGAGGACTCGGGGCCGCGAGACCGCAGCGCGAAGGACGTGGCGGAACATATTTAACAAGCGTCGACAGGGAGGAATATTGCCGCAAGAGGGACTCTTTTTTTTCTTTGCTAATTCACTCAAACAAGGTTCTAGGGAGAAAGCTTCACCGCACTCTAAAGATAATGAGGATTCCACTCGGCGATGCCCACGAAGCGGCCCCCTCGAGGGAGGAGCTAATACTAATACTAGTATGGCCGGCGCGCCGCGGCAATGAGTCCCTGGCTCATGCGCCGGAACAATCGACAGCGAGGTGACGCTGTGGGGCTCGAGGGGAGGTTCCCGGAGGGGGGAAGCTGTCTCTACTCAGTCACCCATGCTGTGCCGCTCCACGCTAGGACGGATGGAGGGGTCAATGAGAGCGGCAGCAGCCAGTGCGGTGTCTCAAAGCCGTCATTGACCCTGAAGACGGCCACTAAGGATATGCCTATGCATGGCTGCCGTCGTCGCAACATGCCCTTTCCAGGCTTCTGCTGCATGTCTCATGTGTTCTTCATCCTCGGTCGTCGCCGGGGGGGGGGGGGGGGTTCCAGAACTTCCAGGTTCTTGTGGGGGGGGAACCTGGTGCCATGGGGTCCCGGCCTTCGGGGCGATTCGGGTCGCATTGTTCCTGGAACTGGGCCGTGTCCAAGTTTCTCAAGATGCGAAATGTCAATTCCAGTGTCCACGGCTGGTTTGCTCAATGGACCAAGGTCCTGAATCGCGGGGGTCATCGGGGCTAAACGCACATCCCCCGCCTTGACTCGACTGGCGCGCTTCTACACTACAGCCGCTTTTAAAACTACAGGGGACATCGCGGGGGGCACACGATGGACATGAGACCTGGGCTGCCAGAAACGAAACGAAGCCAAACCGGCGCGGGTCGTCGGCCAAACGCAACGATTGACGATTGAACGGATGAAATTGATTTCAACGGTTTCCTCTTTGCGCCTTTACTCGCGAACCATTTGCTCCCTTCACATGCCAATGCAACCCTACCCAAAAAGTTTGACACCTTGTCATGCGTTCCGTCTAGCCAACAACCTGGTTCAGGACCTGCTCGTGAGGGAAGTTTGTGTTTCTCCAACGGGAGACAAAGTCGTCCCGGTTGACTATGACGGTGTCAGTTGCATTCGCTCGTGTAGCTGGACAAACTCGAAATCACTCACTATAGGCACCGGCGATGCGTCTTCTGCCCTCAAACGCACTCCTACCGTGCATCACACGCCAGTTGTCAAAGACTGGACAGACAAAATTAGCATTTGCCTTGTTTTTGTTTCAACGCAAAGAACATGACATGGGGGGCCACCACTCACTCAAAACCTGGCCGGGCTTCAGTTGCCACCAAAACTCAACGTCGGATCTCCGGAGAATGGCATCCCACTTGCGCGCCGCCGCGTACCACTCCGTCGGCGAAACGTCGTCGGAAAAGGGCACCACGCCGCGGTCGTCATTGTTCCACCGCACCCGGTGCAGCGTCCGCGTCTGCGGGTCGACCTCGAGCACGGGGTACCGCTTGTCGGGGGAGATGGTGATGCCCTCGTTGCCGCTCGCGTGCCAGGGCAGGCGCACCTTGGCGAGGATCTCGTACGCGGCCGGATCCTCCTTTTGCAGAATCTGCGCCGCGTAGAAGGCGTCCACGAGGAGTGATTCCCCTCCGAGCTTGCTGTCTTGGGGGAGCTCCTGCTGCTGCTGCTCCTTCCCTGGCGGAGGAGCTTCGTGGGAGAGCATGTGGAAGGCTTGCAGGCCGGCGGGGTCGGTGAAGTAGGTCGTGTCCGTGTGCGCTGGGAGGGCGATGTTGGTGTAGGCCGTGTCGGCCATGGCGAGGTCCGGGACGAAGTCGTAGAAGCCGCCGTAGTGCGTCTCGCGGATGAAGGCGATTCGTTCGAGGACGCGCTGTGTTGGGGCTGGGGTGTCGTAGGGGGTTCCGTCGACGAAGGCGAAGCCGTATTCGCGCTATTAGGTGTCAGTCCATTGTTCACCCCATGGCGGTAGAGGACGTTGTTTATTTACGATGAGTTTTGTCAACTTTGCGACGCCCGAGTCGTCGTTCTTGGTCATGAGGTGGTTGTACTCGACGACGGGGCGTCTGGAGCCCACGTCGGAACCCCAGAAGTGGTAGCTGTGTGTGAAAGTCAGTGACTGGTGCGATGTTGAAGGGGCTTGGTGAGGTAAGTGCCTTACTTGACTTGCTCTGGACTCCGGTGGTCATTTTGCAGGTAGTGCTTGATGAAGTGCCAGGGGTAGAAGCTCTCGTGGCCGTCTTGCCCCCCTAGTTGTGCGCATCATTGGTAAATTTGGGGTCTTCCTCAACAGAGTGAGAGGGGGTTGAGTTGCACCTACATGTCACTTTGATACCCTTTTCTTCAGACTTGATTTCAGAGGGTCGGATGTCTTGGCTAATCTATAGTTTCGTTGCCACCGTTGCTGTTGTTAGTTGGGTCTTGGGACGACGACATTTCGCGGGAGAGGGTTAGGTTTGCCAGCAGCAAAGTAGTCACGAATGTTGACCAAGCGGGACGGGACAGGCAGGGACTTACGGCGTATGTGTCAAAGTTTCGCTGCGTGGTATCTTGGTTCACGCATTTGCTGCATCGACAGTTGTCTCTGGTACGATGGAGGGTTGTGTTAATTCAGACAAAAAGATTGACGGGATCTAGTACTTTGGTTGTTATGATGTGGTTGGCGGACGTACCTTAGCCAGAAATGGGGGCTGCAGTTGGGAGAGCTTGTGTTAGTTGAGGTTGTTGTAGTATTATGCGAATGTCACTTCGTGAGTAGCCGGTCGGCCGGAGCCGGAGCCGGAGCCGGAGCCGGAGCTGCGGTCGGGGGAACCGGGGGGCGGGGGAAAGCAGGCGGGAAAGCAGGTGGAAGGCGGGGGCGGGGGTAAAGACCCGGACTTACAGCGTCGATCTACGGGTAGATACACCCGTCAGCCCGTCGATTTGCACGCCGTCGTTTACGACTTTTGCGTTGAGCTGCGGCTGGCGGGCGGCGGCGGTTGCGGAGAGGTGTCTACTCGCGGATCCGAAGGTGCCACATGTCGTGAGGCGGGGTGGTTGTGGTGCTGATGCTCCGAATGCAGAAGCGGCACGCCTACGGTGGAAGATTGGTGTGAGACTTTCACGTGTCACTTGTGTTAGGTGGGAAGGATACCAGACTACATACCTCGCGGCTCGGGGTGCGATGGTTCTCCAGGGGAGCATTTTTGGAGTGCCTTAACAGACGAACTGAAGGGGCAAGTGTTGGCTCTCAATTGGATGGGGAGGGTTCCTGTGGGATTGAACTCTGATAACGGGCCGAAGAGGAGGGTGGGAGGGGAAAGATTGAGGATAAGGTAAGGTAGAGTTGGAGAGAAAATGAACTCTGGGAAAATGGATGGGAATTTGGAAACCGGGGGGTAGGTATTTTGGGTTGGTCGTTTGAGAAATTCAATGCGACGAGACGGGATCTCGGGGGATCGGGAGGGGCTCTGCCTAGTAGGTACTCTAGTCTGGGGAACCTGAGAAAGCCGAGAACAGGCGGGATTTTTACCGCTAGAGATGCTGAGGCGGTGGTTTCTTCGGGGCGTTGACATCAGCTGATTGCCCCTCCGTACCCCTGCTCGACTCCCTTTGTTGAACAGATGGACTCCATTGAGGTGCCCTGAGAATGGATTGTGCCTCGGCTTAATCAGTCCACCAATCGACCTGTTGTCAAACAAAGTCTGGCGGTTCCGAGTGGACATTTCGAGCATGCTTTCGTCCGGATTCTCCCTCAGGCTCGACATGTTTGATTCACCGTCCCTCCCAGAACCCAAGGCGACAATGCATTCTTCGTGGGGGTTCAGCTCTCGATCGTCATAGTCGAGGCGGCGGCAATACCGCACGATCATTCTTCACCCATATGCACGTGGCACGGCATACGCTCCGGAGCGCAAGTGCAGTTCCGTGTGCGACCCGGCAGCATCAACATCCGGTTCCGGCTCCGGGGTCCGGCCCCATTAACCCCGAGCAACCCCCAACCGACACCACCCGAACCCGGCAGCTTATTCCGACAAGGCCGCACTGATACACGGGCTTCTAGCTCTCTGACAGTCAGTGTTATATTGGCAGTTCCTCCGCTGCTACAGGACTCCTTGGTCGACGGCGCACACACAAGTCTTTCCAGAAAATCTCGCCACGTCGTCAAGAAAGTATGCCTCGCTTCGCCCAACGCGTTTGATCGCCCTTTATCCAGACCGTTCTTCGAGGCCTTTCTTAGAAATTACACACCTTCAAAAACCCGGACAGGTGGGATTTAGCCCAGGGGTCCAGGGGCGCACAAACACCATAGCCGCCGTGACCGTTCTCCCGGGACAGCTATTCTCACCTGCCTCATCGACAACCACCCGATTTCCGTGTCCTGGTACAACTATCGTGGCATCCGGGTCCCGTACCCAGACCCTCTCAAGAAAGGTCAGGGGAATACAAGCGCCAGAGTGCCACAATCGGCCTTCACTCCAACCTCCTTTGCCCGTTTTGGTCGTGCTACGAGGCGTTGCGGGGTACAACGTGCATCAGACCCTCACGGCCGTCCACTCACATGACCTAGGCGGCGCCGAAACAACGGTAAATTGAAAATCTAGTTCCTCTTTTCCTTTGTTTGTGTCCCGCTGTCGTCTCCTGCAGGTTTGGCGTTTGCTGTGTTGGAGCGAGCGGCGTTGGGGATTATCAAGTGTTCGCGCGTAGACGGCTCGTCTGATTGGTCGCGCTTGGCGACGACGGAGGGGGGGGCGAACATCGAAACCCCCCCCGTCGTCGCGGCAGAGCATGTCCTGCGGTTGGTCAGATGCCTTGAATGGAACCAACGGTGCCGTTTGTGAATTAGTCTTGTCTGCAGGGAGTTGAGATATTCATATAGCTATCATGATGTCCTTCTGCGTACATGTTCAGGTCGAGTGGTATTTCCTTGAGTTGTTGGTCTCTGCCTTGGTTGGATTTCCTTAGATATTACGATATCTCTCTCTCTCTCTCTAAATCTCTTTAGTTCTCTACAACCGCACTCGTTTGGAGGTCACCTTCTAATCTTTTTATACACAACATGGCCTCATATAGGAGCTGGCGGAGGCTATGCATAATAATCTGGTTCATCTACACCCAGAGCTTGGTTTCCGGACTGCAAACCACACCCCTCTCGCCGCCATCATCTAAACCTCATAATTCCAACCAACTTACACCAAGAGCAACATCACGAGCCGACGCCAGCTGCCCCGTAAAAGGCTACACGGCCTGCGGCAACGGCCTGGCAGACTACTTTTGCTGCTCCAGCGAAACAACATGCATGGTACTCGCAGAGAAGACCACCGCCTTGTGCTGTCCAAAGGGATCTTCATGCGACACCATCTCCCCCATCACCTGCGACGTCACCTTGCAAGATGTAATCGAGAACCCGACGAGCCCGATCCACACCACCAGACTGAAAGAGTCTCTACCACTATGCGGATTCAAGTGTTGTCCGTTTGGGTATACCTGCCGAGACGGTTCTGCCTGCGTCTTGGACGACGGCCAGGAGCAAGAGGGGTCTCGGACTTCCAGCACGTCAGTCTCATCTACAAAGACAAGAACAAGGACCGCTACAAGTACGATTCCAACAACGGCTACCCAGGCAGCGACATCGACGACAACCGTCGAGACAGTTCCAGCTGCCTCGCCAACACCATCCGCAAACCCAGGCGATAACCCCCCGACCCCATCAGCAGTACCTCCCACCTCAGAAACCGAGACCCCCGCCGCCGCAGCCGCCTCCCCGAGAACCTCGACATCAGGCGTCATCATCGCAGGCACCACCGTCGCAGCCATCGCCTCGGTAGCAGGCCTAACATGTCTCCTCTGGTTCAAGAGACGCTCCATATCCGAAACCGTCGGGTCCGCAAAGTTCCCCCGCCCCTGGCAACAGCTCCGCGAGCACGGCTCGGACCAGGACGTCTCGCTGCCGCGGTATAGCTCCCCACCGCCGGCGTACGCCGTGGAGATGAAGCCGCCGTTGGCGAAGCCGTATACGTGGAAACACTACAGCCCGGACTCCTTTGGCCGCGATCGCTACGACGTCGACGACGGCAGCGTCCCTGTCCCCGTTTCTGTTGGACTTGCTCTCGCCGTCGAGTTACCCGCCACGCCGGTGTCCTTTAGCCAGTGGCGTGTTCGTGAGGAGGGGGAGGCGACGAGGCCGCGGTCTCACTATGAACCTTACCGGCGTCCTTCATAATTGGAAATGTCTTTCCATAGGAAGACTTGTTCTTGTCTTGGGTGGTTCGGCGTTCTTTCTCAATAGACCAAAAATTGGTTTACCGTCTTTTCTTTGTGTTGTAAGGTTTGCGCTTGTCGAGCAAACACTTTTTATGAGAGATATGAGACACGTTTTCTGCACACTACTACGAGATATAGGGAGGAAAATCTAGAATAGGATCACGAGTTCGTCTGCCTACGAGTATGAACCAAAGCCTTCTCGCGTCTTTCATGCAGATGGTGATATAGTCCGGCCCATCGTGAGAGTGATCCTAGGAGAAGCCGTTGAAACTCAACTGGACTGCAAGAAGCCAATGTGCACTACTCCAGTCATCTCGAATATCCAAAAACCAGTAGAATAGACATCAGCTCGAACAGTAAGAAGAAGCGCAACCTTATTCGCTCGTTCCCCCTTCCCCCCTCAAAATGCCTCGGCCGACGAAGGATAGAGTCATCCACGACTACACCGCAAAGATCCTCCCCAAGGCAATGATCCTCACCCTCGTCATCTTCACCGTCGTCGTCCTGGTATACAGCCTAGGCGAAAAGGCCGCCGTCCCCGAGGATGCCGCCGTCGCCCTTGCCAGCATCGTCTTTGGCTTCTCGGGGCTCTGGCTATTAGGACACCTAGTCATGTACTGCCGAGGCGCGAAGGCGATCACGCCTCCGCCTCTGCCTCTGATGGGGATTGCAACTGGGGTAGGGGCCACGACGATGGCTGTTCCCTCCGTTGCGCAGGTTCCGCAGGAGGCTGTCGGGATTGCGGTGCCTCCGGCGGTTCTTCAGCAGCAGCATCAACAGGTTTATCGGCCCCAGAATAATCAATACCGAGAGTATCAGCAGCCGAATGGGTTCCCTCCGCAACTTCGTACTCACTCACAGCTCCAGGATCAGTCTCACAGGGAGGTTCTGCCACCGCAGCAAGAACAGCAGCACCGTTCACGACGAGAAGACGAGGTAATTGTGCTACCAGATCAGCGTGAGCAACAAGAGCGTGAGAATCGAGTCCGTATGCGCGAACAACAGCAGCGAAAACAACAGCAGCGAGAACAACAACACCGTGAGCAGCAACATCGTGAGCAGCAACAGCGAGAACAACAGCGCGAGCAACAGCACCACAGGGATCAGCGGCAAGCTCATCAAGCAGAAGCCGAAGCGCCGGTACAACCAGAGCAGGAGAAGCAGAGAAATCACGAGTCCCATCGAAGACTGACGAACCACAAACCATACGTCGAAAAGCCGCCTTATCCCGAATCGGCCCCTGGATCATATGAAGTGCCACAGGAGGAATACAGTAAGCTAGAACAACAACACGAAGATCAATGGAGGCAAAAAAAACTACAGCAGCAGCAGCAGCAGCAGCAGCAAATACAGCAGGCTCACGATATGGCCCATTTGCAGGAGAATATATGGCCAAGACGGCCAAACGTCCCCGGGAATCTGCCCGCTCCGGTCACGGTCCCAGGTCTTGTTCAGCAAAGACAGCAGCCGAAGGGACCCAGGACTATGACAGGGAGACCGCCCGAACCCCCTGAGCGCAGTTCCAGCCTCCAGAACTCGCTCCCTGGAACGTCGTCCGGAAGACATCGCAGCTCAAGCTTGACTAGTTCGCGGTTCAATCAGTCCGGTCAGCTAAGGAGAGGAGCATCGAATCGTCCGAGGCCTGCTCGGGTTGGTCGTTCCGAAGACGGCACTGAGGCTGTCGGTGAGCGAGGTCGTTCACGGGTAGATCGCGGGCGCCCAGACCCATACCAAGATATCGAGCCGGAGCCTAGGTCTGCTTCAACCAGATCGACGAGCTTGGATTCTGCCACTCGAGCATCTCTGAAGGTAAATGTGGCCCCTGAAAGCTGGGAGAGCTCGTCATGGGCTAACTCAGACCAGCCCGCCCCCTTGAACATTGCGAAAGGAGACAGGCCACCATCCGGATACGAGAGACCGATTGAACAGTCAAGAGATATTGGAGACCACGTCTTTCTTCCAAGTCGACGATCCAGCCGGCTCGAATCCGATCCACCGGGTGGAGGAGCGCAAGGCCAGGCCGGTGCCAAAATCAGGGTGCCGAGTATCCAATGTACACCTGCAACGCCACCGAACCAGTACGCTACTACCGTTCAGTCTGCTCAAGGTGAGGTATGTGATCGGCCCCCCAGTGCTTCTGCCTCCTCTCCTTCTTCAGCTCGATCGCCTCCTCCTCCTCCTCCCCCCTCTGACGCCCGGCCAATGGGTCCGCAAACCTTTGGGGCGATGGGCATCCCCGACGCATGCGAATCACCAACATTGAGGGACAGCCTGACCAAACCTCTTGCCTTAATCAAGCGTCTTTCAAAGACTAATTTTCGTTCCAGTGGGTCTGACAGTCATAGGAAGTCCAGTAATTTTGCTACGGACTTTCAAAGCAATGTCGTCTTCATGCCAAACTACAACTTCGCGGCCAGTGAGCTTCTTGATCCCCAATGTGGTGAGAATTCGAGTCTCCCTTTCTTACAGACATGTGAGAGAGACGAGCAGAGGATGATATCTGGAGAGGAGCATGCCGACGGAGGTGACATAGTTGTGGTCTGCAGCTCGGACGACGCGGGGCAGTGGCTTGTTAAGTTTGTGGAGTTGACAGAATCATCCTACGAGACTGAGTGATGTAAGGGAATGGAATTCTTTCGTCGGAGCGCGCTTTTGTTAGATAGACCTTGTTCATGCGGAAGATGTCACACTTTTCAATTTCATAGCTACCGTATCTCGAGTCCGTCCTGGGTGTTCATAAGGGGGTAAGTGACTCCGGAACCTCTTCCCCGCATCATTCTCTGTCCCGTCCGAATCAAGATGTCTGAAGGAGGGGCTCACTACACAGCGAGTGTTCAGTTCTTGGAGATTTGAGTTGTCATCTGTGAGTGAGGGGTAGATGGAGGCCGGAGCCCCAGGAGCCCATTGCCTCCCGCCACAACCTGGGGTGCTCGACTTTTACCCGCCACACCCGCCTATCAAGAGCTTAACCCCAATATATTGCCAAACCCAATTGCATGAAGCACTCACGAAGAGAGCAGAGGTGTTCGGAGACCACGGGGTTACTAATCTGTCACGTAGGAACATATTGCAGAACTCAACCTTGAGAAGAACGGCGATTATTGAAAACATCACCAGCCTGTTACAAACGAATGAACGCCCAACATGGCAGAACGACAAGCATCCAACGAGGCCTCATGGACCAACACGGTCTACGATCTCAACCGCGGCGACATTGACGTCGAGCGTGAGCGCCTGGCTGACAACCACTTCAAAGTCTGGCTGCCCCTAACCGTCGACCTCCTCCCTCCGCACATCCTCTCGCATCTCAAAGACGAGGACAGAGACTGGGCGCCTCGAATTGCAGATGTAGCAACGGGAAGCGGCGTCTGGCTGACATCCCTTGCCCAAATCGTCCCACAGGGCTCGGAGCTCTACGGCTTCGATCTCGACGGGCTCAAACTGCCTCAGTCGCATAGATCAGAAGTGTCGTTTGATTTCATGGAGCACGACGTCCTTGAGCCGTTTCCGGCAGAGCTCAGGGGCACTTTCGACCTCGTCCATGTAAGACTACTCGCGCTGGGGCTGAAGAAGGACGACTGGGACGTCGCTGTCACGAACATGCGCGAGTTGCTCGTGCCGGGCGGCTGGCTTCTCTGGGAGGATATGAGTGACCTGTTCATCAGGTTCTATCCGCTGAGCAGGGCGTATGAGGAGTTCTGGTGGGTTACTATGCAGCATGATGCGAAGGTAGGGAGGGACAGATTGTGAGTAGTTCCCACCGTCGTTGCCTTGCTTTATCCCTTTTCGCGCCGCCAGTCATGAGAAATCAATGCTCACACTTCCATTAGAATGCCGATGGGCCTGCTCAAAAAGTTTCAGAAGCTTCGGTTTCAAACTTGCGAGCAAAAGATTTTCAACTCGTGGGCTGCAGATGATCCCGTTCGAGAAGAAGCTACCACGGGCATCATGCGTCTGATAAGACCTTCGTTGGCGTCCATAGTTGAAGACGGTGGGGAGGAGACGGTCCAAACGATGGAGGATGTCAGTCGCATTGAGACAGAATTGAAGCGTGATGTGGAAGAAAAGGGGTGTCGAGTTGGCTTCAATTTCGTGTGGAACTGGGGACAGCGAGCTCGATGAGGTTGGATCTATCTCACGATCTTACACTCACCTGGTAAAGAGAGGCTACTCCATCATCTCGTATCTACTTGCCTCATCTTTGGTACGCTACAAGGATGCCTCAGGTCAACAAACGAAAAGCCCCCACGGCCTTTGAAATATTGAGGCGCACAGTGCCTCTGAATACTGCACATTACTTTTCTAGCCACAAGGTCTGTTTGATAGGAATATGCAAGGAACCGAACACACCGCAGACTTTGACTACTTCAGACGACTACTTATCACAACCTACAATCAACAATTCATTTAGTTTTCTACAATCAAAAATACCACACCACTGCTAATCGAATCCATTCATCCCGCCCCTTGAAGCACTTGAAGTTCTCACGATGCTGCCGCTTCAATTGATAGGCATTTACAGGTATTACAAGCAAGATACCGATTCAGTCGCCCGATGGCTCGCCTCGACTGCCAATGCCTGCGGCTACCCTGCTGATCTACTGTCCAACTCAGTTCCCGGGTCTGGAAAGACGTCCGAGCAGCCTTCTAAAGGCGGGCGTTTGAAGGGCAAGGAGAGAGCCAAGGCTCGCGCTGCCGACAGAGGAAAGAAGGGATCGAATGCGGAAACAACGACCGAGGCGAAACACATCATCGCCATCAAGGACTTCCTTCCACTAGCGACCTTCATTGCCGGTCGCCAAGATCCAGCCGTTTCCGTGCCTGATGTCTTCTCTACCACGATCGATCGCGTTATCCGCCTCCGGTCTGCGTTCGCTGGTCATTTGAGCGATGGCGGAGCTCAGCCAGATTCTCAGTCCGACGAACAGCATGGATACTTCGTTGGTGTTCTGATGGCGGTTAGAGAGGCGTTACGACCGAATATGGCACCTTCAAAAGCAGAAGACACCGCAGCAGATGCCGGTACAAACGCCATCGACGATGCGCCCAACGACCCGGCCAAAGATCTTGGCAACAGGTTCGCTGCTTTGTCTGTTGGCGAGCCGTCTGAAGCGTTCATCGAAGCATTCCGCAACGCGTCACATGAGAGACCGAAACCACGCGACGAAGACCCCGTCTCTTACGAATCCGAGCCCCAAAGTTCACCGGGGGATGCCATGTTTGCCTTTTCGGCTCTGGCAAACGACCTACAGAAAATCAGGGCTCAAATCAAGAGTATCTGGGTAAACCATTGTGATGGCACTCTGGATCTCGCTTCTGCTGCCGTAGCTACCACTGCAGCCACGTCTATTGCTTGTGGATTGATCGAAGAGGTGGCGCCTTTATTAGACGCGCAAGAAGGGGGCGTCTTCGGCTTTCTGAACAACTTCTACCTGGCGCAGTGCATTTCGAGGGGATTCGATCCAGAACAGGTCCGCCTCCAAATGGACATGAACAACTCCAACTACGACACATACGACATCGCCGACCAATGCTACCTCATCGCCTCACATGTCATGAGCAGCTTCGTTCACGCCCTTCATCCCAAAAGGCTTCCACTGGTCAATGAAAAGATACTCGGCACTTACGACCCTTCCAGCAACCTTGCCTCCAAGACGGGGGTGGAGAGAGGAGGGCCGAAGACAGGATTCTTCTGATGGACTTTTTCCTGGAGCTCATTACCGTGATTCGAATGGTTCCTGAGTACCCAGTCGAGGATGAGTTCCTGCGCGAAATGAGACTTTTCGAAAAGAACTCAAAGACCGTCTCCTTTTCGCTCATCTTCGCTGGACAAGTCTTTCTTGACATTCATCACACGATGCGTGCCGTGTCGCTACAAAGCTTTGTGGCCATGATGAATGAGCTTACGATCACGAGGAAGTCTCTAGAAACTCACCTGGAGTTCCACAACAGCTTGGAACTCAAGACTTGGCCTACTTCAAACGACTACCGGATGCAAATTCTTTGCGCAAGAATGAGAAGAATGGATAGAGATCCGGTATATGAGGGAAAGGCTAAGGCGTACACGGAGATGGGCTTGCCTATGCCTGCGGCAATGCAGTCTCATCGCATCATGATCTACTCCCCTGTTATGGCCGGTCTCTACCTCTTCAGCGGGGACAGATAAGAACATGGCCGGTGGCAGTCTCGCCCCCGAGGACCTTACCCTGTCGCTAGTTTTAGCTCTGCACGCCGAGTCTCTCGAGATGGCCTTCCCGTGGCTGTTGATGCATCGCGGCTGCTGGAGATTCCTCCGAGCGGTAAAAGAACACTGCGATCCTTTGCTGCGGGAGCTATGCACACATGCTTCTTTGACGAAGGAGGCCAATTTGCCTTCTGTGGTCGGCTTCATTCTCAAGGCTGCTGCAAAAGGCGTTGATGGGGGGTTGCAGGACAAGAGCCTGTTGACCGCCGCGGCGGAGGTCTATAACGGCTCGCTTAGCACCAAGGCAGGCGGCAGCGAGGCAGGCAAGACGGCGCTGGAGGTTGCGCGTGGGTTTGGATTGACCATTGACTACGAGTTTGCCGCTTCAACTTCTATAACGACGAGTGTCTGATTGTAGGGTGGGTTGAGGGTCAGTACATCAAATGTCAAGGAAGGTACTGGTCATTTCACGGCATGGGAGGAAGTCGGACGTTTAGAGGATTTGATATCTCATGCTGGAAAGACTTGTGTTGGAAAACAGGTAGATGATGCTATATCCCTTCGTCAGGATGTATTACTCCTCGGCGATCGGGAGGGCATCAGTTCTAAGGTACTGTGTGCGCGGGAAGTCATACGAAGAAAAACCAATGTAATTTTACTCGAGCCTGATGGGAAATCGCAGCAAGCGCGCGGTAACTGCCGCTTAGTTTCGTCTATGGCAAGGTTCTACAGTTGATGACGATGTCTCTGATTCTGCCTGTGAGTGTAGCAAGAAGTTCGAGGACGTTGTTCGCGAGTTGTGCTGTGTAGGCTGGTCTAAGGTCGAGTGTAGTCAACTTGATCGATGGTGAACATATAGACGTTGCTTGGAAGAGAAAGAGTAGAGCCGTCGAAGCGGAAGGCCAAGCCTCGATCGTAGGTGGCGTGCCGCCTACCAGCACGTCCCCTACAGAGTAGGTCGATAGGCCTCATATGCCAAGTTCTATGCCGCTCAGAAGCTAGACCATGGTTCGGTTCATGATGTGTCAGGTCTTTATCTTCAGTTGAACGAAACAAATGTAGGAAGACACTCCGAGCGCGGAGAAAAGCGGCGACGGCAACCGGCATCGTAATCTAAGTTCCGTTGTCCGGGAGGTCCGGGTTCCGGGTGGGCTTTTATCGCCAATGCGACGGCCCGCTTGAAGTTTTATACACCCCTCGTGACAACTAAGCACCTTCGGGAGGCCGGAAATTGAGCAGCTCGGACAACGCAAATGGGTGACGAGACCATATGCTGGGCCTCGCCGGACGAATTCCCACAGGAAAGAGTCAAGTCGCACGCCCACTTCCTTAGAGCTTGGCCTTTACACCGTGCTCTCTCTAGCTACCTAGCACATCAAATTACTTACCGCAAGTCACAATATGCTCTCACAACTACCAGCCATACAAGAGAAGGAGAGACAGAGCCTAGAGGAGGTGGGGGGGAAACCACGCAACTCGGTAAAGCGTCAGTGCAAACCCTCACCAGTCCGAGAGCCCGCAAATGACAACACAGCCAAAGTTGACATAGCCGGAGGTCATTGCTTCTTCCCGATAGCAGATAATTGGGAGAGAGGGGGCAACTCGGACCCCGCCGGGCATCCGTCGAAATGCCAGCGCGTGAGTTGAAAGGCGTCAGTGCTGGTGATTGCATGACAAGAGCGGCCGTGAGCGGGACGTGATCATTGCGCTGTTCATCTCCCGGCTGGGCTAGACAGGCTAATTGGTGAAAGCTCACAATGACAGGATATTGCCCCCTCTGACCGTGTGTGTGTACGTTTGTGTGTGTGTGTGTGAGTGCGTCCGAGGTTCTCACGGTCTGGGCGGTATCGCGGGCGTTGTGGGAGCGGGCAATGGGTCCCGGCGGGAAGATGCCTGGTCGGCCTGAAAGTCTCGACATGTCAGACATGCTCAAGGTCTGGACTTTTTTTTTTTTGAATTTGTTTTTTGAAGATATCTGTGCTGCAAGTCTGACGCCATGGCGGTTCTGCCATACAGAGAAGGAAGAGAACGGGCATGCTACCCTCCAGCGAGCCTCACAGCGGGCAATATCCAAAGTTGGAATCGTCATGAGGCTGAAATGATGGGCGACATCGGGGTTTGAGAAAAGAGCCTCTTTGCAAGGGCCCAAGTGCATGGGCCGGAGCGATCATATCCCATCGAAGAGCCACGAGTAGCCCTTGTCGGGGGCGAGAACGCCTTTTCCTTACCTACGATGAGATGAGGCCATCGCGATGCGATGCGATGTTTCTTCACTATGAGGCTCATAGCTTCCCCAACCCACCCCTTCGCTCTCAGACGAGAAGCCACATTTAGCAAAAAAGAGCCACGAAGATGTTCGCGAAACTCGCTTTCCGATCTCCCCCATCTCCGCGGGCGCCCGAAGAGATCACTCGCATCCGTCCGTCGGTTCGGCGCCCGCTACCTGACTGATCCCCCGGATCCGATTATCATCCTTTCCAGGAAATTCCAGCCAGCCGTAAGCCATCTCACTCATCTCTTCGTTTGCTCGGACGACAGCCAACCAGGGGGGGGCTCGTTACTTAGAGTCTAGACAGCTCCCTTTCTCATCCACGTTGCGCCACGATGGGCAGCAGCCCGCCTCTCTCTCTCTCTCTCTCTCTCGTGGCGCGGCGTCTTTGCGCGCGCTAACAAGCCGCCTTGTGGGCATGGCAATCTGGCAGCCTTGAGAGGTGCCATCCCAACTTTTGATTAAACACGGTGGTTAGCGGTGGACTGAAGTAGTGCTCGGCCGCAAAAGAGGGGGGCGTGGAAGATACGAAAGGAGAGAGAGAGAGAGAGAAAGCCCGGACTTATACTGGGCTCGGACCCGGAGGCGTGGGCTGGTGACGGGGACGGCCTCTGGATAATCAGAGACCGGTTCGCTACTACACAATCGTTCCTCATCTCCACGGCGTGTGTGCTCTCTGGTTCAAATCTCCGCCCGTACATCCGTCCAACGCCTGTGCAGGAATGAGTGACTGGAGAGAATTGAAGTCCCCGTTTCGAGTCAGGCGTTGCTCTCTCTACGAGAAGTTGGGAAGTTGTAGGTAGCAAACTGCCATGTCTCGCACGAGCATCAAAGGATCATGGGCACGAGGGTTCCTCGTCACCTGCTCCCAGCCATGTCCACAGCCACGACATGTGGTGCAAGGTATGCCTCATTCAAAGGTTGAACAAGAGGCGGGAGAGAATTCGCTACTAATACAGGGTTCTGGCCCGACGACCCAACTGAGTCGCGACGACGGATTCGAACGCGTGGAAGGAAAATAGAAGGCTTTCAGCTAGAAGAGCTACCGACACCTTTTTTCTATTGGGAGAGAGAGAGAGAGAGAGAGAGAGAGAGAGAGAGAGAGAGAGAGAGAGAGAGAGAGAGGCTGGCTGGGAGACTAAAGACTGGGTGGCTTGGAGATTTTGGTTGTGTGCCCCCGCAACCAGCAGTTTAGAGCTTTCCGAGCTGCCGGATAGGAGCAACGGGCTCGCAGCAAGAAAGAAAAAGAAAAAGAAGAAAAAAAAAAAGCATGGACGGTGGGAAAAGCTGTAAGCTGTTTGGCTGTTTAAACCTCTGGACCAACCTGGGGGCGTCGTGGTGCTGAGCTGGGGAGCTCTGGACGCTTGCGTCGCACAATTCTTTTGGCGGCGGCTGGTGGCTCTCTCTTCGTGACCACGCTTTCCAGTGGGCGCCAGCGTCGCAAACTGGCGACGGGCGTGAGGCTAGCGAGCCTCTAGCCTCCCGTAGTAGTGTACAGATGAGCATGCTAAGGCACAGTACACGCACTTGAGGGCAAGTACCCTCCTTTCCCATGGCTTCATGAGGACCTTGTTGGCTGGCGGTCGCAATGGAGCTAAGGGATCGTTGGATCTGTAGAGCGGGTGTGCTGATGCGTGACCGTTGGCAAACGATATCTCAAGGGCCCAAGGTAAGTGTGAGGTGGGAAAAGGGGCACCGAAAGGAGAAGACGAGAGATCGGGGACGGGGACGGGGGATCCACTAATTCTGCTTGGTCCGGCGGTTGGCCGGTACGGGGTGCGGAGGGGGGAAGATAGTCGGTGCGGACGCTGATAGGTGCAAAGTGAACGAGCCGGAGGGGTGGAGGAGCACGAGGAGGGAAGAGGTGCAAACTGACCTATCCTGTTGGCCGGTGCGACTCTACGTTGGGGAGGCGAGAGAACCTGAAGACGATCTTAACGGGCACGCATTAAGTTTCCTTCAGGGAAGCTGAAGCAGGTAGGTCTGGGGAACGGGTGGGAGAAACGCGGCTGTTGGGCTCGCTACTGTTGCACCGAATGCACACCCCTTTTTTGTCCATGTATGCGTGACTTTGCATCCATCCCCTTATTTCTTTTCTTCCCCCCCCCCCATTTGCATGTCTGCCTTCTTTTGGGTTGTGGAGGCGTGGGCGACTTTTCTAACCGTTTGCAGGGGAGTTGAAGGAGATGCAGGTCCGGATGGGGATACAGAGGCCGACGCGCTGGAAGGGGGCCAAAGGGGGCCAAAGGGAGCCAAGACTTGGAGGCTCAAGGGCTTTGGGGGGGAGGCTTTTCCTTCTCACGACCTGATCTGCCAATGACATGGCGCTGTAAGGTACATTCTGTCCTGGCACTGGCACTGGCACTGGTACTGGACAATCCTTGTCATTGTCACAGTCGTCGGTGGATGTGCGGATCATGGATGCGATGCAATGCAAGGCTGAGATGATAACGACGACGACGACTAAAGACAGGACGGCAATGAGATGTGATGCGAGGTAAGGGAACTAGCGAGAGGGAAAAGCCGAAATGCCCTGCTCGTTGGGAAATGATTGGTGGCTCCCCCCGGTGGGCGAGTCTATGTGAGGCAGACGTCGACATTGGCTGATGTTATCTCGCATCTTTCGATTCTGATGGGATTATGTCGCTTTGTCCCCCCTCGCGACTCCATTACATACGGCACATTCTGACATCTTTTCTCCACGAAGAACTGTACAACGACCCTTGGAGGATGAAGGGACCTCGGCCGAGTTCGTGTGATGGAGCTCGAGGAAACCCAAAATCAAATCAAACGAAACAATGAACACGACAGCAGACAGTGTGGACATCAACCTAAGAAAAGTCGTGTCATTGTTCGGCCGTGGACGGGGGTATTAAAAAAAAAATTTAAAATAAAAAAAAGTTTCCTTGTTCCTGCAATGTCGTGCAGATGGGGATGGAGCTCGATGGAGCTCGCTGCTCGGCTTCTCCATCATCGTTGAACAGGTCCGACCAAAGTCGAGTTACTCTTTTGAGCATCGTGATAGATAGAGTCGAACGACGAAAAGATGAAGATGAAACAGATGTCGACTGGGGGTGTTCCCGAGATGGGGAGGGACAAAAAGACTGGGAGTTCTAAATGAGTGGAGGGCGGGTGCAGCGTGCATGGCGCGTTCTGCAGGTACAGGCTCGGCCAAGTACGGTTGCGACGCTGCTCTCTATATTGTATACGGAGTACGACTCTGTCAAAAGGAACGATTACGGATATAGGTTGGCGATTCGAAACCTGTCAATCTGCGTGTGCCACTCTCCCGCGTCTGCAGTGCCAAGTGGTTCGTCGTCCGACGTCCGGCGTCTGCTGGATGACTGATCAGTTTCTTGCTATATCCATGGCCACCATCCCCATCTTCATTCCCGCCCACGGTCAACCCGGCCAATGTTCGTGTTGCGGGGGCCACCAACCATCAGAATTTGGAGGTGGGGGCGCGGGAAGAACAAGAGACGAACGAGAAGAGAATACATACATAGATCCAGGGGTCCATCCTAGGCGGCTGACCTGATTTTGGATGTCTTGGACCCCACAATGCAATGCAGGTATAATTCCTCCAGTGCCCTCCCCCATGTGGACTGCTCAACCTGCGACGCCAGAACCCCAGTCCAACCTAGCTCTGTTCAGAGAGCAAAGCGAAATGAGCAGACACACCAGGGAGCACACCGCCAAGCACCTGCCACCCGTTGCCTCTTCACCTTCAGCCACTCTCAGAGCTTCTCACGACCGGAAGACGGAGGAAATCGTAGATCTGCAAGTCGGTGAGCGACACGAAGCGAGAGGCACTGTATGGACAATCTCATGGTTCAACCCCTGTCGTGCCTGGGTTCGTCCGCCCGAGGTCTTCTTAGCCTTCTTCACTGTGTGGGGCTCCTCTCATAGCTCTCTCTATTCTTCCTTGTCGCTCTTGTTCTTGTCCTCCCCACACGGGCGCAAGGATAGGGGACTCATGTATCTGCGGTAACGACGTTTTGACGGCTGATGGAAAAAAGAAATGGCGAGGAGATTGGGGGCAGCGACAAGGGGAAGCTGGTTTTTGTCTTTTTTGGAGGCAATGAACAACGACATGGGAGGGTGTGTGTTCTGTACGGATACCTACGAATAGACTGTAACGGAACTATGGGACGGGAAGAAACGCAAATGGGAAACGCGTCGGGAAGGAATGTGATCCGTTGACGTTTACATCCAAGCTCGAGGAAAGCTCTGCAGAATTGCAGTGCAGACCGCTCATGTTGGGCCCCGTTTCTTGATTTGCTGGACAGAGAGTCAGAGGTTCAAGGCAATCGGTGTAAGCCCGTTGGCTGGAGCCTCACCAAGAACTAATATTCGAGCGTCCTCTCTCTCTCTCTCTCTCTCTCTCTCTTCCCCAGAGATGTAAAACTCTCACCCTCACATTAACACACAGACAAAGACGCAAGGGGCACGTATCCGTACACACACGCGCGCACATACATACAAATCGCCGCTAGAGATGCACAACACCCGCAGGCAAGGCTCACTGACTCTGGGTTGCCCAGTGCTGAGATGACGGGATGCCAAACGAAACGAACGCTGACTTGCCATCCCAGCACGACGGTCCGTGTCTGCTTCTTGACTCGGGTTTGGCATCTTCCTGGGTCCTCTTCGACTCTGAACTCTGACTAAGGACGGATATTCGTACGACCGTACACTAGAGCCACATAGCAAACGCGACAACGAACAAGACAGATCACCGCGAAAATTCCCCATGATGAAGAAGAGGGTCTAGTTAGCAGTTCCGCTCGGTCAAAGCGCGAGGCAAGTATACCTTGCTTTGCTTTGCCCTGCACAGAGAGAGATCAACAGCCGCGACATCCCGACGACGATGATATGACAAAGTCAGGGTCTTCTTTAAAGGAGGGAGGGGGTGCTTCCCTCGCCTTGCCTTGCGTCGCACGGCAAAGTACGCCATCACACTCGGACTCATGAACATCACAATGTTAAAGAATCGCGGGGGGGGGAGGCGGCGGTGAAGGGGGAAAGATGGGTGGCAATGGCACGGAGGACGGGATCAACGGAGCCCACAATAAGGCTAGGATCATGAACGATGAGTATCTGCCATCCCCAGGGTTCCCGAATGGAACCTCATTTCACAGCTCCTCCCACTGGTGTTGAGAAATTCAGAGTGAGACTCGACAAAGAGAGAGGCGTGCTTGAAGCTTGGATCGAGAGAGGCAAACGAACCCTCCCCCCGCTCCCCCCCCCCCCCCCCCCCCCCCCAGCTCCGCCCGCGGATCGGAATCTACCTCGCACGACGCCAAGACGCCTTTTGCAATTTGAAGACGGCGAGGTAGTGCCTTCGTTCCGAGGCTTCCATTACTTTGTGAGGCTCTTTTCTGGTTACGCCGCTACGTTTGCACAATATATCTATCGCCGACTAGCTCGAAGTCTAGCAGGCTTCTAGCCTAATTCACCATGACGAGAAATTGCGGCGAAACGGCCCGTGACTTTTTTGAGGTCCAGTGTAGGTAGGTGGGTAGGTAGGTAGCTTTGCGGTGGGTGGTTAATTCTGTGCGAAACTCTTTGGCCCCGCTTCCCTCTTTGGGAATCGCGTGATCGAAGGACGCGTGTTTCTCGCGGTGCTTGTCCTCCCGGGACGACCCCAGCACTGAAGGCTGATAATCTGATTAGCTTAGCTTGAACGGGAACCGTGTTTGGTGATTTCGAATTCTTGCTGCTTCCAGATTGATTGCATAGATAGGATGTGGGGTCGGTCCCGGGTGGGAGCTAGGATTCAGGAATAGGTGATTTTTCCTGCGACCTAGCTAAATTTGCCCTCAATTTGACTTTTTGTACAGGAAGCGCCGGAAATAGCAAGATGGAAAGCATCTCTGAATGTCTATATATCTATCTATATTATCGCGAGCCTCGGCAGGTTGGAGTCTTTGTCTGCCCAAATGTGCGAAGCCGAAGCTTGAGTCGTGAATCAAGAGGGGGAGGGAGGGGTCTAAGTGCGTTTAGTCCGACTATTTATGTAATCCAACGAGGAACACGCGCAGCGTCGTATCTGCAGATTACAAATCTTCTACTGCGTAAAGAAAGATCGCCAAATGTTTGAGATACATGTCAAAAGCTTAAAACCCGCGTGACTTTGGTTCGGCGTCGCCTATCAAAACGTTCAGTCACTTTACCTGGTTATCACACACACACACACACACACACACACACACACACACACACACACACACACGCACACCCCCTTCCTTCCATGGGTGATGGCATCATCAAAATCGCCCAACGTTGTTCGCCGCCCCACGCTTCGTCCCGCTCGCATAATGAACGCAAACGGAAAAAGCCACGATTAATCTAGTCATTGTTAATCACTGGTGGTCTCGATCTATCTTGGTGATACATACCAAGGAAAGCCAAACCCCGTGGTGGCCGGAGCGCTCTGCGGTTGATTAAATGATACGGATAGAGAGACAGCAACCGAATTTCCTTGGAATCCGGAGCCTATCCTTCACAGCTGGGATCGTCCTTGGTAGTCCTTCACAGTGCTCAACAAAACTCAACCATCATCCTAGAAGCACAATCTGAAATGTAAGCAGGTAAATCCCCGGATTCGCTACTTTAGCGGTAGTTTGCTCGCAACTCGATGTCCAACCAAGAAAGCCGCGCTAGAGAAAGCCACCGTCGCACAAACGTGCATGCGAACTCCAAGATTGCCAGATTGGCGGAGGGGGTTGTGTGTGTGTGTGCGACTGTGCACCATCAACGATCAGGGTGAGTAGGGGGTAGGTACGGTGGTACGGTAGGTAGTCGCGTCCGGGCCGGTGGTCGGTGTTCCGGCTGTGGGAAAAAGAAAATAAAAAAAGCCGTTTGCAACCCATTCGGCATGGTCAGATTTCTCGGTTCCTGTTCCAACGTTATCAATTCTTTTTCGTTCGCAACGGGATCTGCAAGACATCACAGGGCAGTGGTTGTCCTTTCCGAAAAGAGGGAAAGAAAAAAAAAAAACCAGAATGCTGACGTCCAATGACGTTTGGAGTCGCACAACGGCCCTACAAAATTTACACACCCCATGAACAAACAGCACCGAACGGGCAAAAAAGACTCCGGGATGGGGTGTGAGTGCAAATTGCAACCTAAGCCTCACGTCACTCCCGGCGCCGAAGCCGAACCGGCAGCTTCGTGTATAGTGCGCAGCTACCAAGTATCTGATTTGGTTCTGAGTTGTTCTGCTCAACTTCAAACAAGGGTTCGTATTTGGTATATACCCCCATAACTGAGTTACCAACTGACCTTAGGTAATCCCAGGCACTTACAATGCTAAAACTAAGCGCCGTCTGTTTGGAATAGACTACTGTTTATAAACACTATTTCGGGGCCCGGATTTTACACGTGTAAAGGCTTTTACGAACGCGGAACCTGGTATGAAGGAAAGAACCAAAAGACAGTGCAGGAATGTGTAAAGTGGTTTGTGGATAGACAGCTCAGCCGCAGAGTCCCAAGTTCACCAAGGCACCAAGGTTCTTGAGGTTTCATCTTTTTTTGCCACGATGTTCCCGGAGTTCAACCCACATGGCTTCGACGGGCGTGTGGCCCGCAAGCCCGCAAAGCGCCGGGAAGCCTAGAACTCGGCCGGCCGTCGCGCACCGCTCCAGCCCGCCCCTCCCAGGCCAGGCTCCGACGCGTCTCTCATTGCGGGTTTCCGTCAGAAAAGGTACTATAGCTTTAGCACCGGCGTGTTATATGCATACAAGTGTACCGGGATGATTGTAGCTGAGGGATACCAACTTACGTCTTCAGCTCTTCAGCTCTTCGGCTTAGGTAACAAGCATTCCTTGTGTCATTAGGTAAGCTCCGATAGAGTGGGAACGTCCCGTCAAGTCTCGATGGGTTGGAAAGCATGCAAGACCCTGCCATGTTGCGCTCAACAGCGCATACTTCTTCAATCGTCGCGTACGGTGCTCCATCGCCCACGCACCCGGCGTTTGGAGGTTCCATTGGAACGGATGAGAACAAGCGAAAAGAAAAAAAGACTGAGAAGTTGTGAGCTGGTCCCTGTCCCCGTCGTTCCCCATTCTCCGCCGCCATCGCCGCCGACGCCGTCTGGGTTACACTCGAGGTTACTTTACACGTACCACGCTTACACACGCACACTTGCACGCCTCGCGCCGGGAATCGGGGATCGGGGGGAGACTGTCATACGGTATACCCAACCTGTACTATCACCCGGTCTCGTGGTCCAAGACGTCTATGACAAGCGGCGCTAGAAGACGAACCAGAGACCCGAATGGACGGTCCAGCGAGACGTGTGACCATTTAGCAACCAAGGTAGACAGAAGAACGATTGCCGAAACGTGCTCCCTGCCCTACTTGTAGTACTGCGACAGTGCAAACCTGTCTCGGTCGCAACAACGCAACCTCGAAATTCCCGGGAGATGACGAGAAATCTCGCCAAACCACAAGTATGATGAACCCTTTTCTTCGTCATCTTTTCTCCTGAAGAATGAGTCTCTCCTGAAGGCATCCGTACCCAATGCCTCAGACCCAAGATCAACGGACCAATCACCGTGCGCGAAGCAAAAAGCAGGATTTCCTTCAGCGGCCGGACCCCACGTGCGACCTGATATCTGCCTTACCACGAACCATCCCGACCACAAGCCACCATTTCTGGAAAAGTGTACTCGATGGCAATTGGGGGGGGGTCCAATATCACCGTGGAATATGATGTTGCAAAAGTCTTAATCCTCCGACCATGACACTATATCCAACGTTTCAAAGAAGCATGCGTCATGGCCAGAGACAGAGACAAGATAGGCAATGTCGTCAAATGACACTTCCTCACAGTGGGAGAAAAACCACAGCCAAGAAGGACCAAAAAAATAAAATCATCCAATGATCCAATGATCCCAAATCGATACGTTCTGCGACCACACAGGACCAGGGGGGCCGCATCTGCAAGAACTGCAACGGCAGCAACTGCACACTGCACACTGCAGCAAAGCGGAGAATGCGACAGGCGCCTGGCGCGGATAATGGCGGTGGGCGATGGACGGCTGACCGTGGGGATAGTGGGGTCCATTTTTTTTTCTTTCTTTTTTCCCTTCCCGTCCTCTTTTCTCCCGTCCGAGTCTCTATCTTTTCCTGACAAGCATTCTGCTGTAGGTACGGATACTGTGCAGGCAAGTGGATCGTTGAGGCGGTCGACGACAACGACAACGTGTTTCTTTACAATAATTCTTTTTTCCGTCCTACTCAAGGAGAGCCTGCCTGCGTCGCGATACCGGGGTCGTACTTCCTCTTTCGTCCTTCTCGTCCGCAGCAGCCCCCCCCCCCCAAAACAGAAGCAAGCGAGAGAATAAAACGCCATGCAGACGGGAACAAGAAGAGAAAAATAAAAATAAAACCACAACGTTGCTGCATGGACTCCACGTTGCTTTTGACGTACCACCGCCTTCAGCCACACCGCACCCTGCTTGCCATTAAACAGATTCGATCGTCAGTACGGACGGAGTAGTGATTGGACAACTACGGATAGGTCGCAGGCAATAGCAAAGAAATCAAACCTCTTCTTCCTCCCACATACCATGAACTGCCAAGTCTTTCCCTCTGAAAGTGGGGGATTTTCTACAAATTCCGCCCCGTGGGACGGACCTGACGATGAACTTTGAAGAGACGGGACCGGGGTATGGTCTGGTTACTGGTATAAGATGCCCCCACTTTCTGCGGAAGAGGCGAAGAACCTAGGTACTTCGTACCTCTTTTAACCTCTTGAAAAACAGCCTCACGAAAATGTGGCTATTTTAGAATTCACATCCTAGTCGGGAACCTTACTCCCCCAATCGATGCCTTGCATCATCACCACCACCACCACCACCACCACTTCAGCACAGACTTCCCTTCGCCACCGTCATCGTAGCTGTCAGAGGGGGAACTACCAACTCCTACGTAACCGACGGACCTATACTTACCTAACCCCCTACCTTATCCCATTGACATACACTTCCAGCCGCAACCCACGATGCCATCTATCTGCCGCACCACACAAGCGCGCAGTCGAGGTGCGGGGTTTGTAGTGTATTTGGCGCGCGTGTTAGACATACATAACGCACATATAGGACTAGGCGTTGACAATATTGCCTGCGCAAGGCAAGGGGGCAAGAGAGAGAGAGAGAGAGGCTCACCACCTTACGTAGTGTGCGTAGGTAGACAGAATCCCCTCCTCCGGCTTAGAAAACAGAAAAAGAAACTTTCAACGCAGGGACCACGAGTTGTCTCAGACTTTGTCGGCGCTAGAATAGATCACGAGGGGTCTTGAGTCGATGAAGCACCTTGGGAAGCTACCCATAGTTCCCATACTCCGTACAGCGTCGTAGCGAAAGACGTCTGCCTCTTTCTCCTTGCGGTCGTCATCGTTTGTGAAGTTTTCGCCGTCGGCGTCAATAATATTGTTGCCAAAGTTGTCATCGGGTCGTCCGGAGTACCCTGGGCCGCATCCCACACGCATTTTTACCCATACCGCTCACATACCTTACCTTACACATGGACACATACGCACACAATAGTGACAACAGTGACAGCAGTGACAACACCGGCCGTTCCCAAAAAATAAAATAAAAAGCTCAGACCAAGCCAGCGACTGCGATCTGTGTCAAAAAAGTTGCGGCACCAATCGCAAACCGCTATTGGATCCCCCCCCCCCCCCCCCCCCCCCCAAAAAAAAAAGAGAGAAAAAAAGAGGCCGAAACCGAAAGCTTGGGGAGCCGGTTCGTCAGAAGCCACCGCGGGGGACCGAGCTGCGACACAGCCGGGCTGCATGGGGATACCGTTCGCCGTTTGCTATTCCCCAACACTGACTCCGTACGGATAATATCTACAATCCCATACAAATGGTGCAAACAATCATATCACGAGAGCAGGCTCATGTTACACGAAATAGTTGAACAAATAGGACATTGTTGTTGGTATCATTGATTGGTTTGTCTACTAGCCCGCGCCACCCCCGAAGCCTCGCGGAGGGGTGTGGCCGATTCGGCTGCCCGGTTGTAAGGCCATCGCTCTCAGGCGTGCCTATTCTCGTCCCTTTTTGGTACATTGCCAGTGACCCCCACCATACGGTTTTGTTGTATGTCTTGCGGCTTTTGGTCCCTCTTCTCCCCACCACACTGTTGCTTTACACATTACTTCGACCCCGTTTGTACACGCAAAGAAATTCGTTCCGTCGTTATTGAAAAAATAGAAGATAGCCCTGCGCCAATTGAAGAAAGGAGTGTTGACCGAGCCCAGTCCGTAACCCGAGGGTCAATATGAAACGCCGTGATCCAGTTTCGGTCCCCGTTCGTGCGCCGTGCATGCAAAGCAAATGGTCCCAACCCGAATGCAAAAAAAAGTGATGCAAGCAAAGTGCCCTGCCGTTGAGTGTCGGACGTGTCTTTTGTGTTTGGTGTTTTTTCTTTGGTGGGTGAGCGGCGACTAGCCAATCTTGATGCTCTTTCTGCGGTTGGTGAAGCCGCTGAGGATCCGGCTCCGGGTGTTGGCCGCCGGTGAGCTAGGCGATTGTACCTGAGCGACGGGGGTGGATGGGGTCGGGGGCTGGTTTTGCGCGTTCTTCTTGGCCGCACGCATGATATCGTTGTAGCTGACTGCGGACCAAGGTGCCTTTTGCTCGGGCTCTTCCCTGATGTCGGCGTGCGCCGACAAGGGGAGGTGTCCCAGTGATGGTGAAGACAGGCGATCGCGGGAGGAGTTGTTGGCAGCGAGGTCTCTAAGCTGAGGACGGCTGCGCTTGCGGACAATGCTGAGAGTCCTCTTGAATAGTTGAGAAGTGGGAGTCTTGGGTCTCTCGGGCCTCTCAGCCTCTACTTGTTGCTCCTCGGCCCGCTCATCGAGAGGCTTGCTGGCGTAGGGGTCGACGCTGAGGAAGGAAGGCTTCTCCTTGGGTAGCATGCTGCTGGTGATCATCATGCTGCTAGATCTGGGTGGGTGGAAGACGGGAGAGAAAGAGGCGCCGCTGGTGGAGGAGGTAGACATCCTACGCGACGAGGGTGCCGTTGATGAGATAACCAAGCGACTCGGTGGCCTGCTGGACTCCATGGACTCGGGCGAGGCGGATCTTCTGGTAGAGGGGAGGTCGATGATGGAGGGCTTTCCGGCAAAGACGACAGACACGACGCGGGCAGTGTCTTCTTGGCTCTTCCTGCGGACGGGGGAGTCGGCGGACTCTGCGCTCTCGGACTCGTAATCGTAGTCTGAAAACTCGTCGGCGGAGGAGGAAGCCTCTTCTTCGGAAGAGAGGTAGACTTCTTGGGGTGCTGCTTGTGTGGATTGGTTTGTGATGATCTTGAGGGCCATGCCGTCGAGGAGTCTCGAAGCTCTCAGAGAGCTCTTGGCTGGTAGTGCTGGTGCTGTTTGGGTGGGTTGGGCCTTCTTGGGGGAAGGGCCCGTCATCTCTCCGTAGTAGTCGCCGTACATCTTTGCGTTTTCGTTCTCGTTCGGGGCGTCGTCGTTTTGGACGGATGGTCGTGGTGCGTTGGGAAGCGAGTCTCTATAAGAGGTCCTTTGTGACTGCTGATCCTTCTTGTCTGTAATGGTGGAGGTAACACGGTCCTCTCGGCTGGAATGTACCGACTCCCTTACGGGCATAGTCTGGCCGGCCAGAGACATGGTTGGCGGTGACGTGAAGTTCGCGATCTCCCTCGAGGAAATCTGAGACTGGGCGGTTTCAGTCGACTCTTCTCGCAGTGCAGCTGGTCTACAGCGAATAGTGGCAGCTGACTAGCAGGTGGTTTGGTGGTGTAAGTGTCCAGGCCTGTTGATGGGCTTGGAGTTGAGAGAAGGTATTCTGAGGTAGGAGTAAAGCAGAGTTACTCGTTTGGTGAAGCATAAGAAGGGGTAAAAAGCACCTAGGGGTGTGAGGTGGGAGGGCAGAGGAGGATATATCTATGGCCGGGTCGGTTAGGCACACAGCACACTTGGACGGGTTGGGGACGGGATGGGATATGTTCTGTTCGGGTGGACTCACATAAAGGGACGGGGGGTACGAAGTACAAAGTAACCTCTGGATGGGGGGGGGGCTCGGGGGCTCCAAATAGGTAACCAGGGGGGGAGGGGTGTGGGATTCGACAGGTCGACACTCCGTGGAGAGAGAGAAGTCAAGATTGAGAGAGACAGAGAGAGAGCACAGATGGCACTGCAAGAGACAGAGCCGGACAGACACCAAGATGCTCCTGCACTTTGCACTTGCACCCAAGTCCATGTCCACCAAGTCCCATGCCCTGATCCTGGCCTGCCCCCCTAGTCCCGATCCCGGTCAGGTCCTCATCCTGAACGGGGTCCACTTGGGTACGGGGACGCAGTGTCGAGGATTTTAGTTGGCACAGTACAATGTACCGGGGGGCTTTTGTGGCAGCAGCGCCAGCGAGAGAAAGCGAGGCAGGGGCTGGGAGGTCAAGTCCCCGCTAGTCCCTGTCGCTCCTCCTTCAACCTAAGGTACGGAGTACCTACCCTACCTCGCCAGGTGCCTGTTCAGTAGGTATCCACTCTGCAGGATGAGGTACGTACCTGTTCTCCCGTCAAAGACTCGAGCCATCGACACCTTACCATCTCGCATCTTACCTAAGGCATTTCCTCTGTGCAATCCACCACTCCCGAACATCATCAACTAGAGCGCTCAGTCACCTCGTTTGCGATGTGGCTCAATCAATGGCTGTGAGTCTGTCATGTACACACAGATATCCGTACTGCTCACCCTAATTACCTAGCTCTCCGTCAATCTCTCAACCTGTCCATGGGGTGTCCGCACCAAACCTTACATCGAGCGTACAATCACGGCCATGCTCTCTCTCTCTATCTCCCACCACACGATGATGGTGGCATGAGGGACGGAGTACGAAGTAACGACTAACGGGTTACGGAGGACCTCCTACGGATAGACGCCTGCCCTCTACTCTAGCCTCTCCCTCCCACGCCCATCCACGAAATGCTTCGTACCCCCTACACCACTCCTCCTTACGCCAAACACCACACACCAGCAACCAGCACCAGCACCAAGCACACACACACACACACACCACCACACTTTGCATCACAGACGCTACCCATACGGGCCATACCTGGCACATCTCCTACGCCGTGCCCCTTCATCATTGACTGCACAATCTACGGCCCCACACGCTAATTCGCCCTTCAGGTCAGGACCGCGCTGTCCAGCCTTGGCCATCTCTGCCACTCTGCTTCACAACCGCATTTTCTACTTGCAGCACTATACCATCCCGACCACGCGCTGCTGCGAGGATTGCCTCTAAAGTGTGTCGTTTCATGTAAAGGGTGCTATTGACGACCGAATACCATCTCTGATGCTTCGTACCGCACCGCACATTGCAACTCGTCCAGACGGGCGTCGCGGCTTTGCCATCACCCCTTCACATGTCTCCATTAGGCTATCACCTCCATGAGGCATGGCGTTTTCTTAGCACTCGAGTAGAAAGGCGAGTCTGCCGATGCGAGGGGTCACCGAGACTGACGAGAGACGAAACCGACCAAGCCGCCCTACCCACGGCCACGGTTATGGCCCTCATGATAGTCTCGTCGCTGTGGATTGGAGGGAGGAACGAGTGTGCGGAAACTTTGTCCAGTCGAATCGCCGGCACTTCAGCCCATGCTGTCATCTGCTCAACCTCCTTCAACCACCGGGCCGACGCCGCTCACCTTTCATCACATCTGGTAGCCGGCATCTTACTGTGCCCTCCACAATTTGACTGGCACTCTGGTAGACATCACCATCATGACTTGTAACAGCCGCGGCGAGGCATGTTGCCGACGAAGTACTGCACTCTTCGTCATCCGTCATGAGCCTCGTTCGTTTTTTCCCTGCTTGTCGACGTTTCCCAGCGCCAAAACACCCCACATCTCTTGTCAAGTTGTCGCTCTCGCAGTCGACCGGGGGGTTGGTCACACCCACGACCACAGCAGCAAACTCCACACCACCAGACGAGGCGGTGGCAGGGGTCGACTTCGCTGTCCAAAGGGACGACATCTTGGGGTCACTCGACGGCCAAGGAAAAGCGTTCCTCAGCCCAAGGGCAACGACAAGAACGCAAGCGTCTGCGTCTGCGTCTACGTCTGCGTCTACGTCCACCTCGACCGTCTTCGTGATTGGAGGCATCTTCCATCTTTTGGTAGACCGTAGGGGCCTTCAGATGGCTGATTGGGCCCGACGCCCCTTCGCCGTCTTAGGGGCCGTCGGCAACCGCCTTCTGTCGGACCACCAGAAACGGCCGTCGGAGCCAAATGCTGCTCGTCCAGTCCCGTCTGCGTTAGGGACCCTCTTCCCGCCCGCATGAAAACGTCCTCCTAGATTTTTCTCATGCGACCCGACGGATGCTCTCGCTCCCGCCACTGGAACTGAAAGGGAGCAAGTCAATTCGATCCCGAGAAAAGGGAGAAACAATTTCCAATGTTTCGGGCTCACGGCGGAACATGTCTTGGCTCCTCGCTCTCCGGCTACAGGCTGTGCAGGGCACGGCAGGGTACCAAGGACGGGCCATCTTCGATGTGCAGGCCTGGACGAGGCAACCCCCCTCCGCCCTTGGCAACCCATGATACCGCACATATCTGCATGTACGCGAGTGTGCCAGAAAAAAGAAAAAAAAAAGAAGCATCACGAACCCGTGGTCCAAACGGACCAACACCCTTGGGCCTGGCCTGCCCAGCCTCCAGGGCCATGTTCTGCAGACAGACCGAGCTTTTCTGGGGGAGAATCCATTTACTTTAAAATGAGGCCGACGACGACAACGAGATACCGTATCGGACGCAATCAAGATGCAATCTGTCTGTTAACATGAAGGGGTCAGGTGGAGGGCCGCAAGTGCGATTTCGCAATGGCCCGGCCGATCTCTTCCGGGAATGGCGCCCGGAAGCCAAGATGCTTCAATGGTGTGGAACTCTGATGGCACGCAGCATATGTGTGCTTCGCCCTCTAAAGGTCGCCGTGGACATTCGATACTCTGGCCCACGATCTGGACTGGTACCTGCTGCACCGTGCCGCGCGACTGCGATGCAAGTGCTGGAAAAGGGAAGACTTCAAGAGCAAAAAGAAAAGGAAAACCCCCCCGGCTTGTCTCACAGGAAGCGAAGAGAGTGCCAACATCTCACTGGACAGATGCGAGGCACAGAGCGTTGCATCGTCAAAGTGACACCACGTTGGTTCGGCAGATTCCCTACGGGATGCACGAATCACATCGTGAACAACGGTTCCAGTTCTTTTCTCCGCCGTATCCCTAAGACGCCAGATGCGGAATAAATTTAATTTTTTTTCCCCTCTTTGCCTCACGAATCCCAGACCGACATTTTGTCTCGTCTCCTCCGCCGCCTGGCCATCGCAAGCAACTCAGTTCGCCCCAACCGCCTCGCCTTTCCCTCTCTGCCGCTGAGGGGTCTGCCGCTGAGGAGAATGTCAATGATGGGATTGTGTGCGCCAGCATGTCAAGTGTGCAGCGTCATGCGATAAATGTTTCCTCAAAAAGTACAAGGCTCGCCCTTGCAGCCAGTGCACGCGAGAGAAGAGATGTTTCTTCGCGCCCTGCAGCCGCCTTGCCCGTCTCAGGAACGATCTCAAACCTGAGGCGCGCCAGTGAGTTCAAGGGCAAGGGCTGACGCTATTCTTCTGTGTTTCGTCGCCAGCTTGCCGGATTCCAGCAACGAGGGGTTGCTTCTCGAGCTCTTTGGGCCAGTCACGGCCCCGGGAACGGGCAAACCCCCTGCCGTTCGTCTGATGTGCTGCGACAGACATTGTCGAGACTGGAAGACGGTCATTCGCTCACCCGGTTGGGTCTGTGAGCTTCACGGCCTGTCACTGGACGAGAGCTGTCAGTTAAAGCTTGGGAGTGCGGCAACGCACAAACCCAAGCCATCGGGGACGAGACAAACTTATCAGCGTTTTTGCAAGGGCCCTGACCCAAACGCTCCTGACGGCGCAAGTGCTTCATTATGCCAAAGCAAAGCCCTGCAACCGCATGGCGATTCGTTTCGGGACGACTGCAAGCGCAGAGTGTCTCTGGCGACTGGCAATGCTCAACGATTTCCGGACGACGATCGGGGTCATGCTCCCGTACCCGCATCCGTGGAGATACAGGGCCGTACCGCGTCCGTCTCTGGCCGGAAGCAACGTACACAGTGTACGGAGAGCTGTCGACAAGGTACGGCAGCAATAGGACCCAAAATCGCCATGCGCCTGATATCGCTATTCGTACCTTATGCGACGTGATACGAAGTGCAAGGCTCATCGCTGGTGCTTGGCGGCGACGGGCCATCAGCAATCAAGATTCGGAATGAGAAGAGGGTCCTTTTCTCTCTCGCACAGTTACGGCGCGGCGCATTTTGGCCCATTCATCGGCCCATGTGCTGTCGGCTGCCAGCCCAAGACCAGACTGATGCCGGCAGACGGTAATTTGACCAGGGCATCCTCAGTGGGGGCCTCGAAAGATGCGATGAATTCCAACACGATGGATGCATATTCGACGCCGTGTCCCTACCTCCGCCCTCTTCTCTTCATCACCCATCACGCCCGGCTTGTCTGCCTGGCTCATCAGCAACGGACCACCTCCGAGCCTGAACCCGGTGGTTTTGCGGGCTGGCGGGCTCGCTTCCTCGGTCCCTTGACTGTCTGTCCCTTGCTGCCGAACATTCTCTTCCTTCCATTCCTTCCAACACCCTTACACAGTAAAAGGGTCCGCCGGGGCTTTCAGACCGACTGTCTCTCGCGTACGAATACCCACGACGATACTCCGTACCCGCCGAACAGGCTCGCCAGGTCGCATCCTCAGTCTCTCACTCCCTCACAATGGGACTAGCCCACCTCTCCCAGTTCTAGCGCACCCACTAGAAGTGGCTCTGGTGGACATATCGCGGCCGAGTTAACCACACCTTCTTGGCCTCCCATCCCCACAGTCGCATTTCCACTGGACATCACGGATCACCGCCTGGCGCCTGAACAAAGTCAACGTTTTTCAACGGGCCACTCAGCGGTCAGCATCGCAGCAGCCTCAGAATTCCAGCCACAAAACGACAAGCACGCCAACCTCTATGCGAGATGATGCTAGCCCACATATGGCAAGGTGCTAGCCGGCCCAACTTTCTAAAATTGTATCACGGCCCTCTTCACAAATTTTTTTTTTCTTTTCTTTTTTCGCTTCCCTGCTGTTGGCGAAGGAATGGCGAAAGAAAGATGGGGAAGGTTGACTGCGTCGAGAGTCAGTCGCCTCCAGCTTCTAGAAAGGTCTCGGGGAATCGAAAAGTGGCTTCTGTGGAATGTCTTAGACACTCCAGCGGCCCGTTCTCAACAAAGGCTTTCTTTCTTCTTGGCCAAGTGCGCCAGCGGGCGATATTTTGAAGTTCACAGTCATGGCCGTTGATATGCGGCCAAACCAATACTATTCAACTCGTACGGACGGAGTACAGTGCCCACTCGAAGATCAGCGGATCAGCCTTCACCAGCCGACGCGCGCCAGGAGGCATCTTGTCCATGTGGTATCCCTTCCTGGAGGCCTTGATCCGAAACACATGGCTATCTATGCTGTCAAATTCCTCGGGTCGCATCTGCCAGCTCTCGCTCCCTCTGGCGCTCGTACGTCGCGCTGGGCTCTGTATGATCGTCGCGGGATCCGGAGAATGATACACGTCCCGCAACGCATGGCTCCTGGCAGAAACAAAGATCTTCTCGGGACGCGGCAACCCCATCCCATGTTGCCGCTCTCCGTTGATAACAGATGCGGTATCATGCACTATCTTCGAGCCAGCCTTACGTGGCGAGCCGTCTCATCTCTCTTGCCGCTGGCCGAGCCGTCGTACCTATTGGATGGTACTAAGCGAGCGCTACGGGCTTGTATCACGAAATTCCCACTCGCTACATGATATGCAAACAGGGTTTTGTTTCAACGCCAAGGTCTGCAGAGCATTGCTGACTGATGATGGAATAGTGCGGCATGTCTATGAGCCGTACGCCACTATTACCAGCTGCGTGGGATGGGTATATGCGGGGGACATCCAAAGCAGGCTACCGGACTGAGTCGCGAATAGCTCGGTGCGCATCTCCCGGCGATGTGGGGCCGGGTCCGCGCCGACTCAACCAACTTGAGATGGTTGTCCGATGTCTGCGGCTGGAAAGGCGCAGCAGAGCTGATGTTGCAGCCAACGCGCAGGGGAACAAAACAAAATACCACTCGCTTGCGGATCGATAAGATTCCAACTTCGTCTCTTCTTTCGGATGCTGACTTTGGACGGGCCATGTGTTTGCCGGGGGTCTGACAAAGCCCAAGAGAGGATGTCAGCAGTCCGATGTTGAGGCTATGCACGCCGTCTTTACTCTGACACTTTGAGGCTTCGGATTCGACTGCAATCCTTTCGAGGCGCTTGCGACTCATCGGTCGCTCAAGTCTTCAGGGTTTAGCCAGACTTTGGCGCACCTGAGCAAATTATTCAGGGCCATCAGAATACGATATTCTCAGGTGGACAAAAGATCAAATCTATCTGCCTACGGCTAGTTGCCCAGCAGTGGCGCAGTCAGCCTAATTTACTGTGCAGGATTTGAACCATGTCCTAACCTTCAGGACTCTCATCTCGTCGACACCAATCTGGATGGAATGGCGGCCAGGTCTACGCTTCCTGAGAAGATCCTGGGGCCATCAAACGCATCTCACCGCCATGAACTATTGGGATCATCCGAGTATGCGCATGTCAACATTGAAGAGCATCGTCCACCCACGGTCCTGAGTCAGCTGCACAAGCCAAATGTTGGTGAGCTATTGGCCCTAGGGGACGCCGTGAGGGCTCCCATCAGTGGGCAATAGGCAATGCGCTCATGGTGCCTCTCCTCGACGATAGGAGGTCAATCTGCAGCTCTCCTGTGGCTTATACTGTGAGCTTATTCGGGTAGCCGATTGACGAGCTTATGGTGCTGACGCTCATGCAGTGCTGACATGCGACTGCGCAGCTTCCATTCTTTCAGATCCTACGTGTAGCCTTGCGGCGTTTCCTGCACTGTCTGCCCAAGTATCCCATTGTTAGTCAGACGTTGCTGATATTGTATGGCACAATGCAACGCTTTACCTCGATGACGATCAGCCCTAACTTGCAGAAACGCAGCACCATGAGCGTTTGAGATGCCTCTAGGTGGCAGCGATGCAGCGAACAAGCACGATTCACGCTTTAATAACCGTAGCAAGATAGACGCTTATTTCGTCATGCCTTGAACGGAACATATATCGTCTCACACACGGGCCAGCACTACGGCGTTGCGAGACCCTCCGTCTCGATCTGAAACGGATCGAAACATGTTCAACCGTAATAAATCCAACGCTGGGGGGTTACACTCGTCGCAAAGACCCGAATGGCACCGGCCGTCCACGACTCAGACATGGATCATGCACTGTTCAGCGATGGCACGATGGAAAGTTCCAAGGGAGCTCCGTCTCGATTAGTTTGAAACGGCCTCTATCAAATTAATTCGATGCCGATCGGAGGCAAGCAGTAGGGGTTCTCCTCGATTGCTTCTCCGCATCGCCGTCTCCGCCTCCGCATTCTCCCCTTCTTCCCCCCCGCCCGACGCTGCTGGTCCCGGCGGTGCACCGTGCCCGGCACGCCGGTGTTGCAGTCTCCACCTCATTCGGGAGAGGGAAAAGCAAAAACGGCGACATGACATCATCATCCCTGCAACACCCCCCCACCTACTGCATCCAACAGCCCAACCACCAACCTTTTCCGACGTCACTGGACATATTTTGATGGATTGAATGTTGTCTTCAAACCTGCTCCTTCGAGTACAGGAGGAAACAAGCTTAAGCTAACGATTCAGTCAGGTTTTTTAGGTTTTTATTTTATTTTATGCAATGCAAAGATTGGATCAACTCCATTAACAACCGCATCCATGACTGCCGTCGCACAGTTTGTATCTTGGATGTAATTCGCCTCAATGAATTACTACGCGAGAGACAAGATAGAGACATTACGTTTCGACCAGCCTCCCACTACGCGGCAAAGGATCCACTGACTCCTCGCTTCCAACCTCCTCACGCTTTTTCCTGCTTGACTACTCGCAATTCTAGATTGCTTCTGCTGCTTCGACTAGTCTCATTCCGCCCTACGTTGAATCCTCCCCAAGTCTGGGTACAGAAGAGACCAACCTTGTTACCCGACGCCACATGTACATGTGTGCCACAGTGTAACTGTATCACGGCGTCCAGAGCCGGACTGCAGTGCAGAATGGCATCTTGTCGAACTTGGACATGGCGGGATGTTACTTTTGGGAGTAGTGCAACACTTTTCTTCCCGGCGATCGACAGTAGTTGATGAACCCTGGCCATGCTTCTGCGCTCTGCCGTGTGGCAGTTTGGCAGTTTGGCAGTATGGCAGAAACGTGTGTTTGGGTTGGGCTGCGTGGGGACACTGCACCGTGACGTCGCTTATCGCTGACTCCCCCTCCATTACCACGATTCATCATACCTAACTACCACCCTGCCACCCTTCTTCGACTTTATAGAATCACCATGCAGATGTGTACACGCTGTTGGAAACCAGGGTCTGGAACCTTCTTCCCACGTAGGAATTGTGTGTGTCCATGGATGTTTGACAAGTTGGAAAACCTACCTATACCCTACCCTGGTGGGGGGGTTTTGCGAATGAGGCTTGGTAGCGTCATATGGCCTTTGCCAACTCTACATGGTGACCAGGGCCAGCCATGGTCCGTCGCGCCAATCTTTGGCTCGGGCTTCGCGAGCCGGAGCGTCAGGGTCTAGCAAAGTTGACCCTGCAATTATCTAAGGTGTTGTCTGAGTAGATCTGGACGGTTTGCTACGGAGGCCATGCGTAGCGTTCCCGCTACTGCAAACCACGCGTTCCTGTTTTGCCAGACGATGAGGACCTGATTTAGTAAAAAAGACCCCTGGCAAACATCGGTAAGCAGGCAGGCACGCCCGTCCACATGTTGTGTTCAAGTCCCCATGTACCCCCTCTTCAAATCCTGCAGGTAAGCCATCATCACGGGACAGAGAGAGAGAGCAGTAATGTACGATGCCGAGTGGATGGTGGGTTTTTTTTTTTTGGTAGTACGATGAGGTCACACAGTATCGCGCACAATTTCGGTATGTACCCTTCTTGCAGGCCGCTTTCAGGTGTTACATTTGAAGAGGACTATGCAGATTATAGAACCATGGCTTTCGCGTATCGTGCATCATTTGGGTCCCGGTGACGGAAGTATCGGGTGATGGGAAGGGTCCCTGATAGTACATACATATGTCGCTGTCGTTGCTTTGGCGTGAGTGTATTGCCTGGACCCTGGGATTCGAACTTTGTGCAATATACCTTCACGTGGGTTTATACGCCTGGCGTCGTCGAGTTGGTCACTAGGTAAATGTAGGTTTTGGTACGTTTAAGCACGCAAGGTGAAAGGTGAGGGATCAGAGTGAAAATGATGTCCAGCTTCGGTGTGGGAAATGCAATAACAGCGGCCCGTTCCTAATGTCTCATCACCACGGCGTTGGAGAATAAAAATAAAGACTAGAAAGAAGAAGAGATTTCGGAAAATCAAGAGTGCGGCTTTTGGTTAATTCCAAACGCGCTAGTGGTGAGGCGGACTTTCGCCCTGCGGCTGGAAAAGAACTCTTGGGGATTGTGTGTTGATTGACTGTGTTACCTGCCTATGGAGGAGACTGGGATACAAAAGAAGAAGAGCACTTTGTTGCTTGTGCTGGTGTTTGGTTGGGAGCGTTCGAGATGCACAATATTGGATTGGGGGTGAGATGGGATATAGTGCGGTTGCTTCTTCATGGTAATTGCTAGCTAGATACCTTTCGTACGGAACGAAGAAAAAGAGCAGGAAACACTGTATGTGTGTGGAAATTTCAACTGAAGACTGAGATATTGTTTGGTTTTGGTTGCAGACGACTGAGGATGGACTTTTGATACATCTCATCACCGCAGCAAGACAAGATATTAGACGGCTCTTGGGTGCCCTCGGACATACGGTTTAAGAAATATTAATTACTTGGGCCGAGGTGTATTTTCCAAGCGATATGCACCTTGCCCCATCAGAATGGACTCTCGGGGAGCTCTCTAAGAGCTCGAGGCTGGCGGATGAGTAACCCCTCCAGGGACTGTGACTTCCATCTCAGACTCTCAGAGCCTCGCCCTCAACAAGAATCCCGGGAAATCCATTGCAAACAGACAAGGTGGGCCACATTCATTTCGGGAGGCAAGTTTGCATCCCCTGATGTTGACGTGAAGAAGGATCTCTGTGGTGGGCCCACGACAGATAGGAAACCAGGGAAGACGCGGGATCATGGCATCTTCGGGGCCGTCATCCGGAGGAGCATGCCTGATATTGATGCAAATGTGCCTTGGTAGACGTGCCGTTGGGTGCTGGATTTCTTTCCCATCTCAAGAGGCCAGGAAAGCAATTTCATATCTAGATGGGAGGACTTCGCGGGTCGATCTTCACGAGGGGTCGGGGTTTATCTACAGCTGTATGGCAGGTTGGCCCGGAGATCAAGGCAGAAGTCTCCCGTCACACGACGGCAAAACCCTCTATGAGGAAGGTATATCCTATCCTCGGCTTGGAATTGATCGTGTCTGAACGCTAAGAGACCGTATACAGAGAGGGGCAAGTGACTTCGTGCCATTAGTCGATATGTATATATATCCATATGGTGACGACCACTAATGTGATGCAAGTACGCCACACGCCTCCGCACGATGCACATGGGTTGCGCTGCTCGATATGATGATGGTGAAGAGCTACTTGCTTACGAAATGACCGCCAGGTTAAATACTGCACGACTGCTTCCTCCTCCTCCTGCTAGGGGAAACGGTTCTATCCTGACTACTCGTTCTTCTTGACGTATTCATAATACATAGTACTCAAGCCGAGGAGTAAGCGTGCAGAGAAGTGCTACTTGCGGCTTTGTTGTCCTTGGGTATGGACCGTGTATGTACTTTAGCGATTGTAACAGAGAGGCTCACGCCAAGAGAATCACAATTAGAGGCAAGAATCCAGGAGCTCAAGCGGGGGCAGTTGAAAGAAATCCGAAGTGTAACTAGCAAGCCAGTCGTGCAATTTATCCCAGGCTTTGCAAGCCCTGCTGGCTGGTACAAAGAAGGATGCACTGGTCTATACTATAGAGAGTCCAAGTTCATAACCTGCCTTGTTCTTCTTATAGACTGTTATTGGCTGTAACCATCGACGAAGAGTTACCACCGGCCTCGTCGACTCGAGGAAGACCTCGCTACATCGGTTGAATTCATCGCGAGCCCTGACCTTGCCGTGGTAAGGGACGACATGGATCAAACTAGGCCGAGAACGCTTCTGCGGTAGTGAGATTGTTTGCCGTATTATCATGTATCGTTCACTTTGAGATTGAAGTTCTCGCGCCTTCGATGGTAGCGGACCTCGTCGGAATGGCGTATATAAACAGACGTCGCCGTAGCCTAAACTCAATCGCCTCAACCACGGTAAACCTGAGGGGTCTGCGGGTTCGGTGCGAATGCAACTTCCAGGTAACTCACATCCGCATCGGCCAATGGAACCTTTTGATGGCGCTTGTTTTCATAGATCTCGGTGGATCTGTAACGCTGTCTAAACGAGGGATATATAGAACACTGTCGCCATAACCACTAATTGTCTTCTTCCACGTATACCTTGCTCAATACGTGGAGACTGACACGCAAGTATGTAGACAGGGTTAATTGGGCGATTTCCCTTACAAGGTGGGATAGTGCTCGTAATCTTGGCATGGCCCGGCAAAGCTCACGGAGCTGCAAGAGTACCTAGTTGACTCAGAAGAAGGCAAGCCTCTCCACTGGTGCTGTGAGAAACCATGGAAGCTATCGCGCAGGGCTCCTTTATACACAGCGTATCGTATTGTTGGCGCCGGCGTGTATGCTCATTACTTCCCCAGAGAACAGCCCACGGATTAGCAACGGAAGGTTCAGCAGCAGGCTTCGCACTGTTTCTTTCATGGTGAGCGGGAATGATGGCGGGGGATCCTATCCTATATCGCTACGGAAGTCTTGCTCGTCAAGAATAACAAGTACGTCAAATCGGACTCCAAGTATAAGCCACGTCTACTCAAACGTGTAACCGGCTGTCTGGACTAGTGATCTGTCGGTGTTTATAGATCTAGCCTTTAACATCACGCGAAATCCCTTGAGCAGCTACTGGGTGTTACCCAAGCAAGTGCAACGCACCTTGAAATATTCAACACACCCGGGGTCTGGTATCTTCGCCAAGGTGACTGACTATCACGGCTGTTTTATCTCTTGATAACGAGGAAGCGGATAGGCGTCAGTCCTAGGTGTTAGCCAAAGGTCAATGGCAGCGTCAAGAAACGGCAGCTACAACGCAGTTTAAAGACGCACTCGCATATAAAACATCTCGGCCGGATTGCAACGACTGAAATTTTCCACTTAAGCACAGTCGCCTGCGGCGGCATCGATGGTGCCTAAGTAGTCTACCTTAGTCGCTAAGGCGGACCATGGCATGGTGCCAAGGGAGAATTGAGAACTGCTATAGACATAGGCTACCAGATCCAACCGAACCCCCATCTCTATACCCCTGAGCAACATCCCTATAATATTCGAAGAGGAATACGTAGAGACAGAGACCATGCTGCAACCGACAAACAGAGACATCAATCCTTTTGTGGAAGGGCGAAGGGCGGAAGAGCACGAGATGTCTCCGGTTTGAGGCTTATAAGAGGAAGATCACCGACCTTCGAACCGACCTTCGAAGCGTGCGATGGTCCACCTCATTTCACATGTGCCTGGTTGGACTCGACACGGAAAGGCTTGCGTTGCAGTGTTATTCATTCTAGCTGGAGCAACTGACTATGTATGAGGAGAGCACTTTGGTAAATACCAAGGAAGGTAGAGAGCCCTGATGTGATCGTTCGAGGGAGTATGCTTGAATGCCAACGGCTTTCAACCGGGAGTCTGGCTCCATGGTGCTATATCATGAAAGGTTTCTGGTAAAAGGGCGGCATTCTGACAGTATAAAAAGCAGAGGTGGAGCATAGAACATCTCGACGGAAGAGCCCAGAGGACAAGTTCTGCTGACAGTTGGCAGATAAGCACCAGACAACGCCATGAACCCTAGCTTTCAATCTCAGGAACACCCCCCGTCTGCCGAATGTCTTGATTGACAGAGCTAACACTACCTCAATCGGATCTGGAGGCAAACATTAAACCCACGAAATCAAGCGCGTGCCACCTCCGTCGAGGACAGAGCAGGGCGTAAAGTCAACCACGCGTAGGACATCGTACAAAGTTTGCCGTATCGTCCTCAATAGGACGTTTCGGAGCAGTATCCCAACCTCACTCGCAGTAATTATGACACCAGAACCGGAAGGTCGGTACCCAACATCTAGATCCCAGCCGTGGTAAAAGCGCCGCTTCTTCTTCACCTTCATCGTCAAGAATGTCTCAAGAACGTCAAGCCAGTACGACCAGTCTTATTTAGTACCAAGAACATCACAAAGCATAATTCAAACGCAGTCATGATTATGGAAAATAAAAAAGTGTTTTGAAATCCACCCCATCTACTCCATAAGCAAACCATCGGGGTATTGTCTCGTCACAAACGAATGCAACGCAAAGCATCCTAACTATCCCGAATTTCCATCTCGCGAAAAAAAAGAGGAAAAAAGAAGAAGAAGAAAAGGACAAAATCTTTTTTTTGGGGGAGGAGAAGCATGAGAGAGCCATCTCTGTCGGCTTCTCTCTCTCTCCAGCAATCCCAAATCCCTGTCAATCCCTGTCCAAACCTCCCATCATTAACACGTCTCTCTGTACTTTTTGTCATTTTGGGTCTGCCCTCGCGTCCTGTCCTTTCTAGAGGGGGTAGATATTCGTCGACCAATGTGTCAATCCTTCTTGCTGCCAATCCTGGTCAACCGCCCACCATCAATCACCGCCAGAGATCATTTGACTTCTTCTCGTTATTCGCCGTGCTGGGTCTCGGCCAGAGGTCCTCGTCACTGCCCCTGCTGCCACCTGTGCTCTGGCTCGGGATGGCCATGAACATGCCCGCGCCGTTGCCCACCATAACACTCTTCCTCGCCGCTGCCGTGTTCCAGCCTGACCCTGCAATGTCCGCGCCAAGACCGTATGAGCTGATGGGTCGGTCGCCATGAACGCTCATGCTTCCTCGGTGGCGAGCTCCACCGGGTGCCGCTGTAGGCTGAAGCATTACCGAAGACCAGTCCAGGGCATCGTCCGCCTTGCAGTAGATTGTGAGAGGATGAGAGAGCGGCCCAGTACCGGCAAAGGGGTTCGTCGAGCTGAAGCGCTGCGAGGCGCGCACCTGAGAAGCCCCCGCAAAAGGTCGAGGGATCGCCATGCCGGCGCTGCTAGGTGGCGCGAGGCCGCCGCGCCCACCGCTGCCCGGACCTAGACCGGACATTGGCCGGTTGGCACCGACCGTGTGCGAGGATTTCGGACGAGCGTTGGCGCCGTAGGAAGAGAATGCCGCAGCGGGGCGGGGCAGGCCCTCAAGCTCGTCTTGGAAGAACTCGTCCAGCACGTAGACTGACCGCAAGTTGGGCATCCCGTTGCCTCTGAGCGATGCGGCCAAATAGGTGTAGTAACTAGCTGTAACACTGGAGTAAGGGCCGGCAGGCTTGGAAGCGGTGATTTCGAAACGCAGCGACTCGAGAGAGACTGACGCAAGCCTTCGCGTCCTGGGCCCACTCTTGAAAGCGTCGCTTACCGAGGCCTCGATGGCCAGCGTCTGCAGATTTGTGCCGGCTGACAAGATATCGGCGAGTGTCGCTGGATGCACGCCAGTCTTGAGGAGAGACAAGACGAGAAGGTGGTTGCGAGTATCAGCGCGGCTCAAGTAATCAACCAAGCCTTGAGCGGTGACGGCTGGAGTATTGCTGAGGACCAGCTCCTCAAGCGGCGGGAACGGAGGCAAATCCTCATGACGGGCAAACATATCGTCCGACAAGGCTTGCGACTCCATCACCTTTAGCGCGCGGAGCTTCCGCAGGTTGGCCAGAGCATGACGCATCACGATCGGATCCATGTTGATCTTGATCAGCTCCAGAACCTCAAGATTCTGCCAGATACCGCCGTGCGCCAGCTTGGACAAGCTGTTCTCAGCGCCTCCTCGGTACGTCATCTTGCGGAGGTCTCGGCACCTAGCCTCAACCTCGAGCCTCAACGTGGCATAGCCGTGCTCGTCGGCGAAGAGACCCTCGGGCAGGTCTACGTAGACAATGTTGGGAAGAACGTGGATAATGCGGGCCAGATCGGCTGTGGCGGCCTCGCGAAGCATGTAGGGGACCTTGAAATATCGGACTCTCGAGCCAAAGCGTGTAGGGTCCTCGCGCAGGGTTCTGCAGAGCAACTTCAGACGGGCGGTTGGGGTATCTTCGGGGTCGGCGTTGCGCTTGAAGAAGGTCTTGCGCTTGCGCTGCTCCGACAGGTAGATCTCGCGGGGGCAATAGTGGACGGCGTCGATTCGGATGCTGTGGTACCTAGAGCGCAATAAAGGTCAGCACGACTTCGGCTACGAGGAGGGCAAGAAAGAAGTAACGTACAGCAGGGCGTTGGCCATTTGGTTCCATTTCCAGCAGACGCGCGCGCAGTGAGCCAGGTCTCTCAGGTCGCATAGCATGCAAGCGTCAAAGATGGCGCTCGTCTCGCACGTCTCGTAGGTCTCATCTTCAGTGTGTGGGCACACGAATGAGAATATTCGCGGTAGGATTTCCTTTGGCAGGCTCTGGAAGAGAGCGGCGGATGCTCGCGTGGGGATGTGAGCGCCGGGCGGGGAGGCGACGTTGCGGAAGTTCTGCTGGACTTGGGACGAGTACTTTGACAGTTGGCTGTCGGTGAACTCATGGGACTTTGACTGCTGATGACCCTTCTGCTTCTTCTTGTCCTTATCCCTGCGAAAGAACCCCATCTTCTGTAGAGGCCGAACGGCGAGCTTCATACCAGAAAGACAGAGTCTGGGAGAGGGGGAAGGAGGAAGAAGGGCTTGTCCAAGGTGGTATCAGGGGAATAATATATTAAGGTCGACGGGTCCCGGCGTCGCATTGGCCGGTGGGAAGCGGCGTCTGGGTGGGTTGGGGACGGGGGCGTGAGGCTTCTGCAGGTCCAACGCTACGGCGAACCAAAGTTTGACGGTGGATTGATTTAGTTAGGACGGGCGTAGCTTGTAAGGTAGGTGTTTGTCGGTTGGAAGTGACTGGGCCGCCTTTGTCAATGTCGCGCTGTCTTGTTCGCTCTCTCGCGCCCAACGACTTTCCGTAAGGTACGAGGGGTTCCGGCTTGATTATCTTAATAGAGTAGGCAGGAACATTCGGCAAGGTGGGAGAAGAGCAGCCCTTTCTGCTTTTGGAGAAGCTGCCAACGGTTATGTCTAGGATGGCCTGCCGAGTCAAATCCTCCCAAAGGTCATCATCCAATGCGTTGCGTCCCTTCTCTCTTTAAACTTCAGATGAAATTTCCGCAAACGTGACAGGTTGACAACGGCTGAACTTCCTGGCCTTTATTTTTATCCTTTGCCCCCACTGAACTACGAGTGTGATAAGTGAGAGAGAGCAAGAAACAACGTCCAACGACGTCCAACAAAGACGCACCTCGTTCCGCAGACAAAGAGATGCGCCCGCGGGAAGCGGCGGCCAGGGCATGTCTTTAGTGGCTCCTTGATGCGTGCTAAAGGAACCCGACACGACTAAAAGTGCCCTCCTCGTGCCTTCCCCTCCCCCCGTTCAGCGTCTTCGCCCCACCCACAGGCGCCCTACATGCGCTAGGGACCCCTGAGTCGACAAACCGCTGGTGTGGGGAAGGAGGACCGCGCCGTCTCTGATTCGCTGCCGCTGCCGTCAGCTCAGGGGTCCGCAATTCCCCTGACCTCTGGAGCAAACACCGAGCACGCGTCGATTTACTGATCATCATCGCAACCCTTGGTGCCCAGCCGATCCTCACGTCTCGAAACGAAACAATTTGGCACACTCAACACCTATGGATAACATACGGAAATTTGCTGCATTGCGCCTCTCGCCAGCCGCTGCTGCCACCCAATTTTCATCTTTTCATGTCCAATCGATTCTGATGCACCAACCAAGAAATGCCTGATAGACAACACATAATGTCCGAGAACCAATCTAATGCTCAAAAATATGCTACTCTGCTCGTACATATCCATACTCACCCCCAATGCGAACCCGTCCTCTCAGTCTTATCCTTGTTGCCTTGCCCCTACCCTTGCTTCCTCATTTCCATTACATCCGTCCATATCCCTATATAAAATCGTGAATCGCGACTCATCGACCACCAAACACACACACTGCTAGTCCGTCAGGAACAACCAGTAGGCATTCGACAGCATTTTGTACATATCCCATTCACTTCTGTTGCTCGTCCGTCAGGCATGCTTCGTGACTTCTTGGCGATGCGTTGGTGCTTTAGTTGCCATTGCCGTTGAGCTGAACTCCGTCCAGAGGGCTAGCCGGTCCTGATGGGCGCTTGGCGCGCAGAGTAAGCGGGAACGGGTATTCATCGGGGTCTTCCTCCTCACTGCAGATACGGGTTAGCTTTGTCGGGCCACGTTTTGAGCATCGTCAACTTACGGCAACTTCCAGGCAACGTAGTCCTCCGTGTTCAAGCCCTCCCTGCCTTCTTGCAGACTGGCGAAATCGCCAGGCGTCATCATGCCAGTGCGGTCGCGGGGAGATCCAGGGACCGAGAAGGGTCGCGAAATCTTCTGCTCCACGCCCGGGATGAAGTCTTCCTCCTCCTCTCCATTGAAAGAGCCAGGGTAAGCCCGTCTCAGTGCTAATTGGCGAGCCTTGACGTACTCCATGCCCATTCTCTTCCAGTCCAGCAGATCGCTCAGGCGCTCCGTACGGTTACGCTGGTTGATACGTTGACGACGGCTCTTTTGGCAAAAGTCAAACATGTGGTTGGTGAGCTGGTTGACAGAGTCATCAACACCCTTGGTCCGGCGGTCCACAATGTAGATACCGTAGTCGCTCGAGTTCTCAATCAACTCCTCCATGTAACACCCAAAGCCGGACAGGTTGGTCGTGATGCTAGGAACACCCATGACTGTGCATTCGGCCGGGGTGTATCCCCAAGGCTCGTAGTACGAAGCAAATATACCCATGTGCGTACCGCGCACGAACTCGTCGTAATCCAGGGGCAAAACAGGGTTGGCCGAGTTCAAGAATTCGGGGTGGAACACAATCTTGACACGGTCTGTGGGGTGGTTGAAAAGCTGGACGCGCCTAATCTGGTTCAGCACGGGGTCCTCGCTATCGTTGAGCATGTTGTGGGTAACGATGGGAGGAAGGCCGTGGCGCTTCATCGCGAATAGCCGCCTGCGGATGAGTACGCGATCCTGTGCGCTGATGAGCTCCTTATCATCGGGCATCGGGTCACCATCGTGCCACTTGAGAGAGCGCTCGAAGATGCGACGTCCGATACCCTTTTCAATGACATCGACAGTGTCGCGCAGCGACTTGATGACGGCCTGTCCCTTGAGTGCCTCGACAGTGAGCGAAGTGGTCTGAGCCGGCATGATCACAAAAGCAACGACAGTAATCTTGCTGCCGACGCTCTTGAGGCGATGGTTCAAGCGAGCCAGGGACTCAATGAACATATCGACACCTTTGTTTCTAAACTCGTAACGGCCGGCGGTGAAGAAGTACAACGTGTTCTCGGGATCGAAATCGTAATGGCCGTAGAAGTGACCGCGGACGAAGTCGTGAATCTTTTCCTTGGCCTGTTGATGCAGATTCTGGAACTCGTGCATGGCGGAGAACTTGGTTACGTTGAGGCCGTTGGGCAGCACACCATCGGGTTTTCTCTTGAGCAAGTGCTCGCTCTCGTAGGCGGTAATGTGTGAAACAGTAGTGAAGACATCGCAGGAGTGGGCGGCGGCGCGCTCGATGCAGTATCTGTGGTAGATACCACGCTTTCCGGCCTCGGCATCAACATCAAACCATTGGAGGTTGTTGTAAAAGTCAACGGATCCAGCGCAGAGGTATCTTCCCAAAAGGGTTGCGTGGGTAGTGAAGATTGTCGTCACGTCGATGCGGCGTCTCTTGGTGAGCGGCAGAGCGACACCGGCAAGCCACTCGTGGAAATGCGCAATGACGGCCCTCTTCTTCTCGTGGCAAACGAACTGCGAAAAGCAAGGTGGTCAGCTATATCCACAGAAAAGAGTTGCTTGTCTTTTCCTTACCTCTCCTAAAAACCAGGCGACGACGTATCCAAAAATAACAGCTTCGTTTGTCTCGTCATCGTTGGGCGGCGAGGGAATGCTGGCGACGTTCCACAGGTCGGCCTTCCACTCATCCATAAAGTGGTAGGCGGTCTTGGTGTCGAAGAGCAGGACTCGGGGAGCGCCATCGATAAGCCATCGGCCGTAGAGGATGCCAACTCCACGGTCTCTCATGGACTGAATCGTAGCAGCAAGCTCGGGATTCGTGGGCTCCAACTCCTCAACCTCGACTGCGGCCTGTTATTTGGTAAGCATGCTGCAGACAGTGCACCGCGCAGTTCCAGACTTACCGAGTTGTGGTTCAAGGGCCCGATGAGAGTATAGCGATCGCCATATTCGGCCGTGGTCACGGGAGCTTTGGACTTGAGGACTGAGTAGATACCACCGACTGCATAGAATGGGTCAGCCCACTGCGGAGACTACGGTCCAGGGGGGTGAATCGTGGGGACTGTACCTCGATGGGCAACCTCAGTTGCGATTTCGAACAGCAAGTGATTCTTCACATCGCGGGCAGGGCGGTCGTTGTTGTCCCGCTGACCTTGGGGGAATTCGGACATGGTGACTGGAGGGTAATCTGCAGGTGCTGAGCCAGGGAGGAAGTCAGTTTACTGTGAGGGACGGACAGCTTGGGAAACGAGCGTTGGGTGCGGGAACGAAGGTAGAAAAGGAGTCTGGGAAGATTGCATCGTGGCCCAAGGATCAATGGGAGCTTGGATGACGCAAATATGTAGGAAGCACTCACCGGTAACCAAGGCGACGCGGTGGAAATGTGAAGACGTCGGAGCTTGGAGAAGCTCCCGAGATGGCTTGGTCGGTGGACAAGGCTTTGATTTTAAGACAATGGGAGGTGTGGAAGGTCTTGGGAAAGACGGACAGGAACAGCGACAGCAAATAAAGAAAAGTCAAGAGCTCTTTGACGAGGAGGAGGAGAGAAGTTGTCTGCGGGGAAGAAAGGTTTTAGCTATGAAGGTCCTTGGCCCTTGGGAAAAGAAGCGAGCGAGCGCGCGGGCAAGGCCTGGTCTGATGTGTGGTGGTGTGGTTGCGTGGTTGGACAATGCAGCAGATCCCCCCCATCCAGTGGCCAGCCCAGCTTTTTTTTCCTGTCCGCGCTAACAACAGATGAGGCGATACCTTGATAATGTGTTGACAGCGCTGCCAACCCCAATGTATCTTTTTGTGGAAGCTACCTGATTTTGACTATGCCCGATGAATACGAATTGGCGTCGACACGCAGAGACTTTTCTGGCCAGAAGCAAGACAGGAGCAGAATTGGAAAGGCCAAAGACAGAGAGAGGAAAAGAGGGTGAAGACCGAAGTGGGCAGCATGGCAAGGTACTTCCCTCCATGTCTTCTCCCTCTGTCTCTTCGCCCTCTTGGACTTCCACCATGGGGATGGGACAGGTTTGTCAACTGGAAACTGGAGAGTGCGGGTGAGGAGGAGTGCGATGGGCGCGCTCAGCGTGGAGGAAGCACTGACAGAGTGGGACAACAATAGCGGATATTACAGGGCCCCTGGACCTGTCCGAAGCTACCACTAGCGGGAATCCACTCTGCAGTTTTGGGCGGGTTTGGTCGAGGAATACCAGGCCGGTACAAGTCCAGACCGTGATCTCGCTCAACAAATTCTTTTCCCATATTGCGCCGGGTGTGTAACTGTGTGTATTTTTTTCGTCTTCTCCAACTACGATCCCCCCCCCCCCCCCCCCCTATTCAGAAGGCTGTTATTCTCTCACGCACCTCACACTTGCAAGTCTTTTTACGGACTCGCCGTCTCTGACTTTCGCCTTGCCCTCCCGAATGCAACTCTTCCTGCATCCTAACGAACCCGATATTCAACGCACATTATCCCGCTTCTATTATAGGAAAGGCGCTCAACTCCCTGATTGCCCAGAGAAAGCATAGCGCAGGGAGACCCTGAGGGGCCCTGTTGCATCCGTTTTGCCTCCTGTATCGGAATTGCCATCAATGATCGAATATTGTAAAAGAGCGCAGTGTAAGGTACCTACTCCGTAGTGCTGGGCAGAAAGTGTCTCCAGATGTACCTCTGGCGTACTTGCTTGGGGGTGGCTACGTCTGGAATGGCGGCCTGGGAGCGCCAGGCTTCGCGCAATTTTGATGGAAGTGGGGACCTCTCGTGAGCTTTCTCCGGCTCGGCTTAGTCAAAATGACGACAAACTTTGCGGGGTTGACAATCCCCAGACTCTCCCCCATCTGCGCCTTTTGGCAGCTTTCTTGTCAGTGACGAAAGATAGAGCGAGAAAAGGAACGCCCATCCCGGGGCGGACCAATCAGTATGGACAGCCCCATCAAGCTACAGACACACGCAAAGATCCTACTTGGGTTTTGATGCCGACGATGGGAAATCGTTAGCCCAGATTTGCCAAATCAAGCAAGAGTGAGTAGAGTGGAAAATCTTCCACATCCAACCCGTGTCTCAATTCCTGGCCAAAAAAAACTTTTCTTGTAATATTTTGCCACATTTCTCCTCATTTCTCCTATTGGCCTTCGAGACATCAACATTCAAGACACCGCGGGTAAATGACGGGCGACGCAGCCCAAAATTCACCTCTGGTCCCGCCTATGACCTCGAGGGTCACGATCATCTTAGCATCCAGAAATGCATCCGGATCCACCCGCCGCAGCGATCTGTTACATCACTCGAAATGTTGGATCCTGCCACCTGCCAGACTCCGGTGGTTGACTAGGCGCCGAGTTGTCACATTCTACAAAACTGGTCAGCTCGACAGGTCATCCAAGACGTGATACCTAGCTAGATCCGATGTCAACGAGACTGCCAAGGGCTACGATTCGTGTTGACGAAGACAGGGACCTCAAGGGACATCTCACGGATGGTGGATCTCTCCACTCTCAAGACTAGAGATCTTGATCATCTATCCGTAAATTTGCAGCGGCAGAGGCTCTGCTCACCTCTCCAGATCCAGTCTCCCGCGTTAGGACGTTCGGTCCGAATTCCCACATACTCTTCGCTGCTTTCCAGCTAGATGCAGCACGCATCGTCAGATCTTAGTGCACGATCCCATCTAAAAGTCTTCCAACGGTCGTGCGGAGATCTATCTCATCCACTTTGGCTCCACCAAGTATACTATTTCTACTTCAAGGCTAAGATATCTCGAGATCAAGGAGATGGATCACGAAGACTTCATCTCCAACAACTTGATAATCTACCGTCAAAAGTTTGAGAATGCAAGAGGTGCAACTGGAAACGTAATAACTAATGTCATGCTCGAATTAATAGGACAAACATCTTCGATCTTTCTTGCGACCCCCATGGTTGCTGGTATACTCTGTCTCACCGGCCCGGGACTTGGAAATCGCCCTGTATCTAGGGATGAAGTTGGCGAGCGTTGGTACGACAACGAATCCCAATACCCAAGCTTCGACAACCTTCGTCCCAAACTTGGATCGAACCATGATCGCCTTACCGTCTGAGCTGAGCTAGTGGTCAAGACTGTAACTCGACAGGCAGTGTAACTACCAAAGGCATAGTGTGGGATCCCCGACATTCCTCTCTGTTATTGACAACACTGCACTGCCAACAAGTCCTCAACTGCTACAGTCACAGTTTTTCTTTGATGACCCCGGCTTTCGGGGAACTCATCCGGGGCCACATTCCGTGACCCCCTCTGAGCCGCAGGTGGGAAATGAGAGACTGTTCAGAATTCCAAGGTGAGCCTTAACGCCCAACTAACACACGAGTTGATTCCAAGTTGTTCTAGGCCAGATGGCACTCGACAACCCCAGGCAAGTTCTAGAAATGAGCTATAGAAAGAGATGGCTATACGTGGCTCTTCCCCTGAGCGAATTATTTGGAGAAGACACCGATGGCAGCTCGAATGGAATCTCTGATACGAAGCTTTTATCTCGCCCGATTTGAACTTGATAGGACTCGCCCAAGTACCAATATAAAAGAATGCATTCTTGTTGATACCTCATGCCTGCATGGGCTGCGGAGAGTTGACGCCTTGTCAAACGAGAGGTCAGGCACGATCGAATCATTCGTCACTATGTCATCGTTCCGGGTCGGATCGTTGTGACGAAAGAAAGACGAAAGGGATGCCATCGTTAGCAACTGAGGGTGCATTGCAAGGCAGCTGCACATAACGAGGTAGGTAGCCGTGGCAGGTAGCTATGCAGTAAGCGAGTAAGACGCGCTAGCCTAATCTGAATGTAGTCATCACGTGACAGTAGCCGCGCTGTCAAGGTTTTCCCGCTCGGCCCACGACAGACATTCCGTCAACCATATGCAACTTGAATCATCACGACTAACCAACCCCAGCCAACCCGCAACGACTCACGAGGGTGCATGTTGGACTACGAGGGACTGCGCACCATGCCCTGATTTCGCTTCGACGGACTTTCTGACAATGAGAGGACTTCGCACCTACGGGTGCCTTGGAAATACGGGCTGACGGAATGGCGGTGTCTGACGCTTGGTGCAGTCGGTATTTGACCGCAGCTTTTGATCGTGGAGGATAAAGCAGGATCTATTATCATTCAGTCGCCGCTCCGGTTGTGCCACTGCTGTCATTCTGCCATGTGGGAACCTTGCCCTCCAACAACGACGACGGAGAGGGAGCAAGTCTCGCCATAACCCCAAGACGCGCCCGATGCGCCGGCCTGACGATATCGATGCTCACTGATCGTTACTACGCCAAAGCATGGCCATCATGGCCAGCCTCGAGCTCAAAGACAAGCAAAAGGGCTGATCAGGGACTGATCCACCGGCGGAACCCCTGGTTGCTTAGAGCAGGCCAATAGGTGTGGCGTGCATGGGTGCTTCGGTTATTCAGACACGTTCTCGGAGGAAGGTTTCACGAGGCTTTGATGCCAAAGACATGCCCAGCCATAGGGCTCATCTTTGAAGCGAGCGCCGTCGCCATGTCGAGAGGCGAGCCCAAGGCGTCATGCCAAAGTTGCCAAAGTTGCCAAACCGACTTCTCGCATTCGGCGCATACGGTCACGACCGCCCATGCTCCAAGACTGTCGAAGCCTTGATGCTCTTGCACTCTATCGACGTTAAGATTGTGGCATAGTGCTGCCGCCGCCGATGCTACCCGCTGGTAGATATGGGCCTAGCGTCTGACCCAGACGCCCAGAACGCGCGCCTCTGAATGTTGTGCTTCAAGTCAGGTTTGGCAGGCCCGAGGAGGGACTGGAGGATATCGGCGCGTAAATCGTACATAGTGACATTCTTGCCTCGACCTCATGCCTCCATGCACGGTAACAGGCAGAAGGAGGACAGATAGTTTGCTAGGGTTTGTGGGATAACACCTCAAACTCATGGCTGGCTCGCGACTGGCAAGGAACGGGCTCGCTCTCGGGCTGGCTGAGTTCTGATTGAACCAGACCAGCCAAAGCTATATTGGGGAAAGAGGAAGAAGGGGTGCGGCCGTGGTTCTGCAAGTGCACCACTGTGGGGGACGTTGACCAGATCCACGGACTTTCTGAGCAAGCGATTTTTGGTGGTGGTTTTGGTACGCTGCATATGCCATTAGACACCACACGCCGACCACCCGACACCGCAAAACTCTGCGGCCATCGCGCGGGATTGCGTGGTGCTTGTGGACGCTTCTCTCTCGCGAGTGCAGCTTTGCATCTTCAGAACTGCATCGTCGCTCACTTTTTATTGTCGACTGACTGGTGGTTTGGCGGCACCACATTGCTACCTCGACAACTGCATATCACGCTTACTAGATCGTGATATCACGTTATCGGGGAAACGTCGGCAGGCAACGTGCTCACACCTAAAAACTCAAATCGTATCGGCTGTAAGCGATGGAGTCCTACCACCGCAACCGCCCTCGACATGTCGCCATGAGAGACGACCGCAGACCAGGCGATGAGCGCAGAGACCGAGGCAGAGCTGGTCGAGAAGTGACACGCTCCCGCAGATCTCCTTCGCCTCCACCACGTCGACCGAGAGAATCAGACAGATTGCCAGACAGCAAACCGCGCGACCCCCCTCCCGACAAGTCGCAGCCTTCCGGCCGAAGCCACCCCAGAACACGCGAACGTAGCAGAGAGCGACCTCGCCGAGCATCGCCGTCGCCTTCCCGTCGCGACAAGTACAGGGAAGGCTCTCGTGATCGATCTCGTGGCAGGGGCACTGGGGACTCGCGGCGCGAATCCCGACCCAAGCACCCGCGAGATCGTAGTCGAGGAGCACATCGAGGCGACGGCGCCGCGTCTCCATCCTCGAAGCGATTGAGGAGCCGAAGTCTTGATAGGACCGCTACGGACAGAAAGAAGGCCAGGCGAGATAACAGCCCGCGTCGTGATCACCGGGAGCCAGCGCCCCCTGGAGACGCCGGTCGAAGTGCACGAGGCTCACCACGCCCGTCTCGACGGTCCCCAAGTCCCGACCGCCGCGAACACCGATCAAAACCCAGAGAAAGGAGTCGGCGAAGACATCGAAGCAGGTCTCGCTCGCCCGAAAGAGAGAAACGAAGAGATCGCCGCGATCGGTCCACATCACGCCGCCGCGAGCAGTCTCCCGGTCGCAGAAGGGAACGATCTCCGCTGTCACATCGTCAAAGGTCACCAGCCAGACCTGCCTCTGCATCCACGAAAAGCGACCGTCGACCTGCATCACCGCGACGCAGTTCTAGAGACAGGCAGCGCCGAAGGCCGTCCCAGTCTCGCGCTTCCTCTCGATCCCTTAGTAGGGGGTCAGGTAGACGTGTGCAACAGGGCGACGACTCCCGCGTTGCTTCCAAGTCTCAACCATCTTCCGGCGCCAACAGCGTGGAGGTCAGCATGAGTGGCAGAGGCAATCATCGGGGAGGCTTTGTCTCTCAGGGGCCGCCTGCATTCGCCCGTGGCCAGCAGTATAGCGACCCACGACAATTCTCTCAATCCCCGCAACCAACCCCCAACTCATACAACGGATCCCCAAACCAGTCGCCATACGGTGCCGGCAGGGGAAACTGGGGTTCTCAATTTTCTCCAAACCAGTATGTCGTACAACATTCCATCAAATTACCATCACGCTCCTGCTCACCATCTTTTAGTCAATATCCCCCTCAGTATTCACAGTCCAACTATGGACCTCCGACCGGGCCGTCGGGTGCTTATACGCCAAACCCCTCTTACTCGCCACCACCATCCGCCCCGACAGGACCTATGCAAACGAACTATTCTCATCCCAATTATCGAGGCAATTTCCGCGGGGGGTTCGGACTCCATTCGGGCCTGGCCGAGGTGGCTACAGAGGCAACAGCTTCAAGAGTACCAGCACTGCACAGTGGACATCCAACACCTCCGGCACCGGCTCTCGGGCCGACGACATCAAATCCCAGCACTCTACAACTCCTGCCCAGAGCAGCAAGTCAGATGTTGGCGACAATGCAGAGGACGGCGAGAACCCGTTCCGCCCGTCCAAGGACAACCAAGTCGAGGATACTACACCATCTGACAAGGCTCCCGAGAGCAACTCACAACGACCTGAAAAGGCCCCCCCATCCGGACCGGCTGCCCAGTCGGCCTCGTCGTCGAAGTTCAGCTTTGCGTTTAAGGCATCTGCAAAACCCACTCCGACGGCGCCCAAGCCTGAGATTTCTCAAAAGTTCAACGCGGCTCCTGCAAAGCGGGATACTTCACAGCAGAATGACTCCAAGGACCGGGATCGCGAACGAGATCGTGAACGGGAGCGTGACCGAGACCGAGACCGAGACCGAGGCAGAGACAGAGACAGAGATCGCGAACGTGACCGTGAACGCGACCATGACCGCGACAGAGAGCGTGATCGAGCCCGGGAGAAGGACAAGCAGATCGATAAGGACATTCTTCGGAGTGCCCCGACCGAACCGGCGTCGGCGAGAGCCCGTCAGGAGCCCAGACAACCTCCTCCGGGGCCCCGACAGGCCACCGCTCCGAGAACACGGAAGATCAAGAAGACGATGAAGCGGTTGAAGCCGGGTCCGAAACTTCCGGACGATCTCATTAAATCAGAGTCTGTCTATTTCCGCAAGCCTGGAAACGAGTCTGTCGTTGGCTCGGGCACGTACGGCAAGGTGTTCAAGGCTTTGCACGTCTACACGAAAGGACTTGTTGCTCTCAAGCGCATTCGCATGGAGGGTGAGAGAGATGGATTCCCTGTTACAGCAGTCCGCGAGATCAAGCTTCTCCAGTCACTGCGGCATACGAACATTGTTCAGCTCCAGGAGGTCATGGTGGAAAGAAACGACTGCTTCATGGTTTTCGAGTACCTGTCACACGACCTCACGGGTATCCTGAACCATCCGTCCTTCACGCTTGATGCGGCCCAGAAGAAGCACATGACGATGCAACTTTTCGATGGACTCGATTATCTGCATAAGAGAGGCGTTCTCCACCGAGACATCAAAGCTGCCAACATCCTCGTCAGCAGTGACGGTGTTCTGAAGCTGGCAGATTTCGGTCTGGCACGCTTCTACGCCAAAAGACACCAGCTGGACTACACCAACAGAGTCATCACGATTTGGTATCGCTCCCCCGAATTGCTTCTTGGTGAGACGCAGTACGGTCCCGCTTGCGATGTCTGGAGTGCCGCCTGCGTGATGGTGGAGATCTTCACCCGCCACGCCATCTTCCCAGGTGACGGAAGCGAGATTAACCAACTGGACAAGATCTACGCCGTGATGGGAACACCGAACAAGGCGGAGTGGCCGGGTCTGATTGATATGCCGTGGTTCGAACTGTTGCGCCCCGGGTACCGTCGGGCGAATACGTTCCCCCAGAAGTACCAAGACAGGCTGCCAGCATCTGCTTACCGACTCTTGGCCGCCATGTTTTCTTATGACCCCGCCAAGAGGCCGTCGGCTGCTGAAGTGCTCGCAGACGAGTACTTTACCACCGAAGACCCGCCTCCACAACAGGCCGTGGAGTAAGTTTTCCCTTTTCGACTTTGATGAAACTTTTGTACTAATTGATTATCTAGGCTTGCTGACTTGGACGGCGACTGGCATGAGTTTGAGTCAAAGGCGCTCCGGCGCGAGAACGAGCGTAAAGAAAAGGAAGCGCGGCGGGCGGCGGCATCGACCAAGGACAGCGGTAACAACAGCAACAGCAACAGAAGCAACAAGTCCCGGGACCGTAAGAGGGAACCCGAGGCTCACGACGACCGTGGCGACGCTAAGAGGGTCCACGTGGAGACGAAGCCGGCGGTTGCTGTCGAGCGTCCTAGGGCTTAGAAGACCCGGGCGCGTTGACGAGGCTTTCACTCGGGGGTTGTCAATTTGCCTTTGACCCGCGGCAAACCAAACACCCATTTACCTCTTGTTTATCTTACAACTCTCTTGCATTGTTTTGCGTTGGCATGGCGTCGGGGTGGTTTCATTTGGGAGTTTCACGCATGAGTTGGACGAAAGGTTGGAAGTTCTTGCCCCAAAAGCTTGGCTTCTTACCTTAGAGAGGATCATTCTTGGAGGTGATGGGAAGGGCCATCGAAAGCTCGTCATGAGACAATTTGGTCGAAAATAGTTTTCTAGGAATTGTGGTATACCTTAGGTCGACGTAGTGTAAGAAGAATATACCAAGGAGACGACGATGATGATGGAAAAACTTGCCACTACCAATTATCAATGATCTCTTTGCTGTCGTGCGTAGGGAGATTAGGGGTATTGATCGAGCATATTCTCCGACGTGGACATGGAACTGCAACAATATTCAAGCCTCCCTCGATGCCACTGATGCAATGGGCATAGCAAACCTCGGTCGTGATAGACGTTCTTGCTAAGCGTCACCTCCAAACATCAGTAGCAATGAAACTTGCCCTCTCACATGAAGAATTCAAGCACGACGGTTAAACGCCTATAGGTCTCAATTCTCAATCTCAAATAAAATATAAAACATGGCCACCGTTCCAGCCTGTTCCCAATATCATGCCCTCTCATTCTTGTGTGTATCGTTAAAGTCGTCAAATCATTCTTCGTGGTGTTGTGAAGTTGTACTGCTTACAGTGTTGATGAGCCGCGACCCCCCTATTCTGTCGGGGCGTCGTCTCCGGTCTGTTTTTTGTGTATAGCCTTCCGCTTTATATGGGGTATCAGAATCAGGTGTCTTTTTGTCATTTCTCGCCGTCCTTTTGATACCGAGGCCATCAAGCCCAGTAGCGCCTCGTCATACCACGTCTTTTGTTCGTAGATGCCCAACGTCGCGCCTTTCAGCCTCGAAATGAGCCTCACTGCCCGCGATGTACAATACCAGTCAGTCTCAGGACTGACCCTCGACGCCCTTCCCCTTGTTCTTGAACTCTGACGTTTTGAGCAATTCGCGTAAGCTACCCTCAGCATGGCTTCTCGACACGCCGCCCTGAGCAGATGTTGAGCCAAGTCCCACAACGGGCGGCAATCTCCACGGCACCCATCCAGTCAGCCCGGCCAAGAGACCTGTCGGGGTCTTCGTCTGATCAGACTGGGCTGATGTCTCGTGGTGCTGGGGCCCAGACGTATCGGCTCGACGACGACTTTCGTCCGATCCTTTGTGGACATGGCGATCTGTCACGCTCTCATCGACATCCGTCCGAACTTCAAGATGGCTCGTCGATGTCTTTGGCAAAGCCGGCTCGCTGACTAAAGCTGTCGCTGAGCTTCGGGGTGAGGCAGGTTTGTTGGTAGTCATTGCCTGTCGTGTGCTCTCCAACATGGCCGTGGCGAATGATGAGGATTTCCTCCTCACCAGTGGCGGCGGCTGGTTCTTCTGATCCTTGCTAGACTGCCCCTCGCCCTCGCCCACCGACGACGTCGGTGTTGTGCTGCCTGAAGACTTCCGTGCGGCTCTGCCTCGCACCTCGGCAGTGATCTCTGCGGCCGACTTCTTCTTCGATTTGTCCTCCTCGGAAGATCGACTGGAGGACATAATTGTCTCCAAGGTTCCCATCGCTATACTTCTCCTCCTACCAGTGCTCCGTCGCTTTTTATGTCTGCGCTCTTCATCCGATACGACGGCTTCTAGTGTCGGACCAGCACTCTGGCGCTGGCGCCTGGAAGACGATGCGTGACTTTTGAAAGATGCGCCGGAACCGTGAGGTGCGACATGGACCTCGTACTGGTTACTCAATGAGTATCGTGATCGGGCACATATCTCGGCAATTCGATCGAGGTCGGCGTTGATGTTATTCTCTCCCTCCTCTGCCTCAAGGTTGGCCATCATGCTCTTGAAGCTATAAGCTTCCACGGGTGGGAGCTTGGCCAGGGCATCCTGGCCTTCCAGGCGCTTCTTCGCCATTCCTCTAGCCATACTCAAGCCTCCATTCTGAACAGACTTGGTCCCACCAAATGAGGTTCGAAGAGCAATGATGCGCCGTACAGAAGCTGCGGAGCCGCTCACCACGGACGAGGCGGTTCTTGGGCCGAAACCACCTCCGCTTACACCGTTACTGCGATTGGTACTGGTGGGTCGACTGTGAGACCCAGAGTATGTTCTAACAATGACGGGTTGAGAGTATGTGCTGCTCTGGGCACCTGTAGACTTGGCGTAGCGATGGCGGGAAGGGTAATTGCTGTTCAGCTCGCGCAGGGCAGAAGTACGATGTGCAGCGGTGCTATCATCGAGAGGAATCGGCTTTCCCTCAGCTGTCGAAGGAACAAGAGATGTCGAGGACGTGTTGGGTTGGAAGAGCGGGGGAAATGAAAATGGTAAAGAGTCTCGCGACGTCCTCTTGGAGGCGAGCGAGGAAGGGAATTGAGTAGCCACGGGGGCACCTCCGGGACGAGCACCTGAGGAACGATGGCGGGATTGAGATGAACCGGATTGGTCTTGAGGAGGGGTCTTCCTTGAACCCATCTTCACTGAAGGTCGCGGATTGCGCGACGGGCTATATATATGAACAACGAGATGGCAGCATGAGCCACCAGGGTAGTAGTTTTGAAGGGCAGGTCGACGTTGCTATGTCGTGCGGCAGGATGGGGTTTGGGGGGAAAAAAGTCAGATCAGCGGGTGCGGAGGCATGTTTAGCTGGTATCGGACGTCGCGTGTGGGAGAGAGATATGTCGAGTGCTGTTCCTGACCGGGATGTGGTTCGCGGGCGAGGAGAGAATATGCAGGTAGGTTGTTTTAGCAAATGTGTGTATCGTCCGTTCTGGACCTGTGTCCTTCCAAATGTGCGATGGGCGGTCTCGGGAGGTGGAGATGGGTAAAGTTGAGACAGACAGATACGGGCGACTGGAGGTGTGTCTCCTGTGGTATATCCGAGTAGCGTGACTGCGGCGTGGTGGAGTGAGTAGTGTGAGGAAGCAATCCGGATCGCCTCGAGATGCGCAGACAAGGTTGCAAACCGGATTCCCCGCAGCGATTGCAGATTTCTCTTGGGAAGAGATAAAAAAAAGGTGGAGGAGGGATGAGACAGAAGCGATGGAAAGGGAAATCAGGAAGGGGGGGAGAAGAAAAAGAGTATTCTGGCAATGTTTAGGGTCAAGTTGCATCCGGTTGTAGTGTTGGGTTTTGGGGCGGGGGAAGAGGCAGGAGGCAGGAGAGAGAGGCTACTTGCAGTTTAGACTGGAAGCGTAGGTGCAAAAGAGGTAGGTATCCTATCCGTACGAACCCAATGAAAGTAGACACTGACAGCCAAAAAGGGAGACTTTTGGTAGGCCGCTAGAGACAAGACTTTCGAGGCTATTACAGGCTAGAGCAACGCGGCACCAGCGAACGAAGCAGGTGCGTACTGCACGAGTGTCGTGGCTGCCGTTCAAAGGGTAGTCCGACACCGACCCCCCCCTGTCGCTGCCATTGAGTCCCGTCCAATGACGGCGGCCTTTACCGTGCCAAACGGCAATACTGTGAGACGGTGGCACGGTCCCCCCTCCGCCGGTCGCTCTTCCGTTCCCAACTTCCCCCCCGCCCCCCCTCACTACGAAGTACTCTCCGGCACCTCAGTGCAGCCACGCAGCGACTGGCCCAAAATGCCAACTCTGCGCCCGGGCCATAGTCAAAAATGATCAGTCACCACCACTACTGCCAGCGCCAGCTTTTCCCCCCATTGGCACTCACTGTCCACTCCAGGTCGGCGTCTCTTTTCGTTGAATCAGAATGCAGTTTTCAAATACGGAGATTTTGAACAACCTCTAGGTGTTGAGGGGGGACGGAGGATGAATGTAAAAGAATCTTTTGGTCTTCCGTGGCAGACGGATACCTACCTTAGGTACTCCGTACTGAAATTGAAATGGAATTTCCGTCACGAAAACCAGATTGTGGACCAGATAGGGACCCGATAGCGGCCGTCGACCGGGCTTAATCAGTGAGTTCCGCCCCCATGGCACCGTCTGCCCAGCCCTGCCGATTCGGCAGCATTGGTTCGAGAATGGAGCCAAGCGATACGCATGCTACTACACTACTCGTTCAACCACATCCCTCAACATCCTCAAGCTGCGACTTTTCGTAGCACAGGAATTATGTCTACAACCACCGGTGGCAAGGCCATGTAGGATGTGTTGGCAATCGAGATCCGGCGCCATCGTCTGCACGCGAGCCAGGCACGCGTATGCCGTTGGTCAAGTTCCTAATAGTGGTATCATTCTTGTTGATCATCATACATTCTGCGTGCTATCAAAAGCTCGGTGCCTCCTTGTCGTCGCCAGGTGAACGCCCTCCCCAAAGATGATGTTGATGTCGCTTGTCTGGACATCAGCCGCCTGTAGTCGTACCGTATTGTCGTGCATGTGCCGCACTACCATTCCGCTGCAGCTACAGCTACCGATAGCCTCACTAGGCGACCATCTAGTCTTGCAAGTTAGTGAGTCGGCTGGGCAATCGTGCCGTAACCGTGGCCGCCGCTCTGCACGTTGTCGCTGTAAACACCCGGCGCGCGCCCAGTGATGATACGGCCCTCCCTCGTCTGTTCCTTGCGGTCGTAGTATACGTATTCGAGATAAAATGCGTGGATGTGACCGGGGATGTATCCCAGGAGGGTCAGGCAGATGTTGACTAGGAGATCTATGGACTGGTCAGCGCTATTTCTGCCTGGCTACCGCCTTGCAAGAGACGTGGACTTTTGAACAACTCACCCATGCCACAGCCAGCGACTGCGTAGACACCGACGGGCGGCACTGTAGTATATGTTAGTAGTGCCTCTAGCTTATTTGTGCAACTGACGTTGCGTCGCCGTGACGTACCCAGGATGGTGATGAGGATGAGAAAGACGGCGGAAATGGCACCCATTTTGTTGATCTGATGTTTTTCTGGTGGAAGTGATAATCTTCGAGGATGATGCTTGATGAGTCGATGGGACTGGACGAATGTTCTGATTCAGTTGAATGCGCTCAAGGGTATCAAGAAGTGTCAGTGTGCGTGTGGTTGTTGTTGATTTGGCGAAAGGGAATCGACGTCAACCTTAGCCGAGGCGAGGAGAACCTTAAATGCACCAGCCTGGGTCAGACACAACCTGGCGTGCCTGGCAAGGCGGCGGCGCAGCGAACGGCCAAAAGTTGCCGTGCTCTCGCCTGCCTTGTCTTGCTTTGCGAGAGGTAACAGGTTGCGCGTACGCCCTGACGCCTCCCCCTCGACCTACGTAACCAAAGCAGCCAATGTCAATGAGCGAATCCCATCGTGACGTGGAATGGGCGGCCAGCAGATGACGTAACAGGCACGTGCCGTTTCACTGCCGGCCAGCCAGGCCTTTGGGTTCCTTGACCGATGTATCTTGCTTTAATCCATAGCATTGAGTGTTTTGTTGCCATATATAGTCAACTTGTGGGAAACTCGGCGAAGCAGCGTTTTTTGTAACCCCAAAGCCATCACAGAGAGGAAACGGTGACAGCCGTAGAGCTGAGAATTACGACGATCATTGGAAAGCCCAATTAGACGCAGTGTGCCCTGAACCAGGAAGGCTTCCGGCTTGCTGCCGGCCACAGATGGTGCGTGCCTGAGACATGCAGCTCTCCAATTCCCCAATTGGAACCAATCATGTAACGAATCGAGCGAAATACCCCCGGGAACACTTACAGGCGTAGAGATGATGTTCCCGAACAGAGAACAATTGCCAAGACGACTTTCGAATTCAGGGCTGGTGTCGACGCATGTCATCAATGTCACTGCAAGATCAACAAAACCACACGACTCTCTGTAGTGAGAGCTGAGCCGTCCTTAGAACGCATGGTGTCGAAGGGTCCTTCGGCCCGCTGTTTCGTTGAGATGTCAAAGTCTATCATAGCTGTACCAGATAGACGCCGGTCTGTTTCAATGGCGACCGATGTTATGTCGAGCAGCGAAGTTTCGCATCCAGAAGCTCCAGCTGATCTCCAGCCAGGGTCCAAGCTTCTCTCGAAGCATCCACGTGCTTCGTCTAGAACGTCGAAAGTGAGGTGGGAGTAGTCCTTCCAAAATCAACCATAGGCTAGCGCTGGAGATGCGGAGATTTTGGAGTCGATTTGTGGTGTATAAAGACTAGTCAATTGGCAATACCGTGGTTGTGAACATCGTTGCGGTCCATACAGGGACCAGCATCGCGGTGTTGTTCCGCGGCGAGCTCTTGAAACGGAGGCCGCGTAGCTGTTCACTCGCTTCCAGATGGCATAACCACACGAAGGTTGCGAACAGCAAATGTTTGCCCTAGTTAGATGAGATGACTTTTGCATATTTTGAATTCCCATCGGAGATTCGAAATGCCGTCTAACAAATGAGACTCATCTCGGCTGAGGCCCATTGAGAATAGCACATATCCGAGTTGAAACTGCTTGGGACGTTGGGCGTGACTCTGATTTAGGCTACCAGTTGGCATGCTCGAAAACACAGCCGCAACGCAACTTCGATCGACAGGGCAATACGAATGCCGATCAAGCCATTGCTGCTTAGCCAGGCATGACAATATTACCTCCATGTTGTTGGTAGGTGAAGAAAGGCAGGGTCCGAGGACACCGAGACCGACTCGACTGATTAGCATGGCCGACTCGAGAGACTTCGCGCTGCTGTTCATGTGGGCGTGGAACAACAGAACCAATGCCGACGAGCTGCGGTGATAGCCGGGGGTCTGGTTTCCTCCAAGGGGTAAGACCTGGTGCAGTGGTGCTAGCTTCAAGGGCCCATCCGTGGCAGATGGGGGCCGCTGGAAATGGTGCAAACTAAGACACTTCTTCCAACCTTCTCGAAGCTTGAGCCCTGTGAAGTGTAATGGATAAGGGGGGGTCTGAGCCGTTGAACCCGCGGATTGGTCCAAAACGATGCCCGTCCGGGAGACATGCGGCAACTCTCACTGAATTGTTGCACTACTCCGTTTTGTGTCCCAAGAAGCCATCTGATCGGTCAGTCGTGTATTGGAGTGCGCTCACGGCGTATTCCACCGCGGAGACTCGTCTCGATGGTCTCGTCTCGATCGGTGCCGAGCCGTGCTGTCAATGCTACGTGCAAAGGCGTTGGGGAATGGCTACCCGTAGCAGCGGCAGGGTAGGCCTAGGCGGTACATCATTGTGGGCTGATACCATGGGCGCCAGATGACGCCTCGTGTGTGCCGGCAAGTGAGGTATGGCCGTGTGGGGCCCCTCTAACGTTCGTTCTGCTGCTCCAACGGGGCCCTAGCTGCAAAGTTGTTGGATCCTCCAGAGGGATTTTTTTTTTTTGGTGTGCTGGCTGGTTCCATAGGAACATTTGCTTGGTAACGTGGTAACACCGTGGGCGTTGATGCCTTCTTGAACGTCCCAGAGCTGTTGATCAAGCTGGTCGCGAAAACCTAGCCGAGTCCTTCCACGTGGTAGACAGGGAAATGCCGCCCAGTGGCGGCAATCTTGGTGTGCACCGCCATAATTGTCTGTTACTCAGAGGCACTCCGTAGGCAGACAAGACAATCTGCCCCCAGGTGCTCTGACACGTACCCAAACGGCCAGATTACCTAGACTTGTCTTGGACAGACGGTTTGCGGCTCGTTATAGAGCCTGGAGCAGTGGTAGTTGCGGGATGAGGCACCTCTCCAACGCCTATGCTGATTGACTAGCTCTTCCCCAAGGCTCTCTGTTCAACGGCCAGTTGGCCACTTATCATTGTGGGCTGCTCGGGGAGTGGAGGTCGACGATGTGTAGTGTATGAGCGCAGCTTCAGGTAAGGTAACGAGGGTGGGGAGGCATCCAAAGACTCAAGTATACATGTACATAGGGCACGGTATAGAAGTACCTACCCCGTTGTCCAGGAGCATATCGAGCATAGAAGCGAGCCAACACGTCTCTGTTCTCGTTCCCCACAGGATCATTGTACCGTTTGGGTGACTGTGCTTGTGCAAATTTGGATTGCTCGTGGCGATGGTCCTCTGAAGTTTGGTCGATCAATCAGCATGTGTTGATATGGTCAGAACCCAAAGCAGGAATTCCTTCTTCGCGGAGCATCCAAGTGTGTGACAAAGCCGCATAGGCGCAGCCCCGGAGAACGACTGAGGTCGATACACGACTAGGACGCAGCGTGCCGCTTGTAGTTGCAGTACCAACTACCTTGGTCCCCGACGAGGGCAAGCCGCGAGGGACGTGAGTGACGGGTTCGTGCTGGAAGGAGAAGACGTGAAGGGGAGAGAAGAAGGGCCCTGCTGATAGGGAAGATCCAAGCAT